TACTATCTTCACTAGTGAACGAATATGCCTAATCACTCTAATTCATCACTGAATGTTATACTTGTGTGAAATACATTTAGTCATTAGATGATTATTTTTTTCAATGGAATTCGTTTACAAACGTATATACGCAATAATAAATAACTTTAATAAATAAAAGCTTGATATCTAAAACTAAACTGAATCCAACAAATCTGTCATACATCGTTTTAGTGAATGAAATGTTTTCAACTGAAATATTTCCTTATAGATATAAAGATAAATTTGTAATTTATAACAAACGTTTAATCTATGAAAAAGATGATTATGAACTTAGAAAATACTCATTACAAATAGTGTGCTTAAAATGGTAAATAACGCTTTGAAATATGGTCACTGCCATAGAATTCTAAGTTCAAAAACTTAAAATCAGAAAACGTGTATTGATACTAACGTGTATCCATTATACGTTATGTCGAATAGTGAACTATTTAAAAAGAATGTGAGCTGTGAATTTTGAGTAATTGTTCTAAAAAATCTATAGATGTTAGTAATATCATAACTCTCTCAAAGTTGGAAACAGTACATTAGTAACAGAAACGTGTATTGAATACACACTTTGACAATTCTCTCATACCTATAAGTCTAGTAACACTAGGTGTATTATTAATGCACCATTTTTCACGTCAAGACATTTTTTAACATAATATGCACGTGAACAACTGCTTTCATCATGTGAGTATTACAGATTATGATTATAATATACAGACATTTTTTGCTGTTCGATTTCAACCACAGTTTATTATTCATCGTTTTCAATGTCACTTGTTTTACAATGTCGAAAAGGCAAAAATATAATAATTATTTTATTTATTAACAAACATTTGTAAATCTCCTCAACAACCTTTTAAGACATTTAACCTTGTCAATTCAAGCTCTTAACTGATAAAAAATAAATATCAGCTTTAAATTTATATCTTAACATTGTTACGCAGTAAACTTATGTCAATACTACTGAAATGTCAAATTTTTCATAATATTGTTTCTATTGTACATTATGTTTTTGTTGGCGAACTAAGTTATTGTATAGATAATTTTGACACTATATATTATGTCTGATTTGTTATCACAGCATGGATCTTTATTTATGATAATATATAATACATTAAATTTGATGATTACTTGTATATTTCAATTCAGTCATTCTTTTTTCTTACATGTTTTTGTAATATAGTCAATTGAATGAACACAAAAATAAAACTATTTATCTTAAGTATGCTAATTCATTGTAAATTCGTAGGTATCATTACAGAAGGTTTGATTGGATAATAATATATTTGTAATACTTCAATGAGTAAAAAAATTAGATCTTCTGACGTTTCTTGACTTAGTGTAAGCCACTTCTTCAGAGAATGAATAACAAAATTAAAATTAATCCAAGTTTAAATAGTACAACAGAACAACATGAATATTATGTTATCAATTTAAAATCAGGTCTGAACAAATTAATGTCATGTCATTTTGACCAAGGTGACTCATATGTGACATGTATGTAAATATGTGTGTATGTATGTGTGCACTGTCTACACAGAACTGCGTCGACAAATTAGGTTGTGTCGATTGTGATGCCTTCTATATTGGAGAATCATCTTGAGAAATCTTGACTCGTGTCAAAGAACATATTAGGTACATAAAGAAACCTCCTAATAATCCTGCAGAACTGGATAAACTTCAAATTAAATCGGCAATAGCAGTTCACGCCATTTTCAACGACCTTCAAATCGATTTCAAAAATATCAAAATATTACAAAAAGGTTTGTCCAATTACAAAGAAAGGAGAGTAGCTAAAGCTTTCCATATAATTCTTCTTCTTTCAATATAAAAGAAGGCTTTACCACAAATCCTACTTCGACTACCTATCCTAGCCACCTAGTCTAACATTATTTACAATTCACACTATCATCTTACAAATTAAACTCTATTCTTTCTCACTATAAAGCTAACACCATTTTTCATCCTTAAATAGTGCACACACACATACACACAAGTTTACATACATTCGTTTGTGAATCACCTTGACCGAAATGACATGACATTGATTTGTTCAGACCTGTTTTTTAATTGATCACATAATATTCGTGTTGTTCTCTTGTACTATTGAAACTTGGATTCATTTTGATTTGGTTATTCATTCACTGAAGAAGTGGCTTACAATAAGTCACGAAACGTCAGAAAATCCAAATTTTTTACTCATTAGCATATTACAAATATATTAATTTATTTATCATTGTAAATCCATTTCTTTACCAAATTCTACCAAATGAATTTTGTGATTTTAAACAAGATTATCATTATTATTATTATTATTATTATTAAAATAGAATTACAAATATACTTCGAATTGTATTAAGCATTAAACATTTAACCACAAATATGCATAAACATATGATAATCATTTATATATATCACATAATTCTGATAAACTACGTCTTCTCATTGCATTATCGAAATCATTTATTCATTTATTTTAAACAATCTTTAGACAACTTTGATAATTTAATAAACAAAAATAGTAACTAAGATAAATTTATGTAATTCATGTCAATAACTTTGATAAATTTCGTTCCAAAAAAACAATTTCATTTTATCGACAGTACTGTCGTGAACAGAACACGGGTGGAGCCAACCGAATGTATTTAACACAAAATTACAGGGCTTGTTAATAAAATCTAACAATCAAATAGTAAATACGTAATTTCCATCATTTGTCTCATAATGACTCAGAATTCATTTTTCTTGCATTTTCATACAAATCGCACTCTGTTTCGATTCTCTACTGTTCCATCCTCTTATCTCTCTGCTGCCAGACCTTCTGTTCACGACTAACATCATATACTACTTATGTCAATATAAGTGGCACACACCACAATACTACTTACAAAATTATAATGTCAAATTTGATTAAATGAATGACATTTATTGACAGTTAATGTATAATGTAAATCATTAACGAATAAAATACTATACCATGGTTTTGTTTATTTTGTTTTCTTATTTTCTAGTTTAATCATCTATTAAAACATTCATTAACATTTAAGACAGTAATATAATTATTTTAAACAAAAAAATAAATAAATAAACATTCTAAAGGTAACAGTTAACGTTTTTGGTTTGCAAGTATAAATTTTGTACAACTATAACTTACTAATTTTATGATAGTAAACAAATCAATCATTTTAAACAATATTATTGATTTATAATCAAAGATGAATAGTGGATAGCAGCGGAATCTAGGATGCACGTTATGCACAGTATGCATATACGCCAATAATTGCAGTCCTAAATATCAATGAGAAGATTGAAGTAAAACTATACTAAGTGAATTTAAACTTCACCCGATTGCACAAGCCAGTGACTATCAAGACTCAGTAGGTAAGTGGATAAAGCGATGGCGTTTGAAGTGAACGGTAGTGGGTTTGAGCCCCAAATTGGATGGAACGAGCGTCCTGGATTCCACTGCTAGCCACTATCCATGTTTGCCTATAAGGCTTGTAAATTAAGGCAGTATCGAGGCAGTACACGCAGTATGTACATATGTCAATAAGAGACTGATCAATTGTATTCCTAAACACCAATGGGAAGATTCAAGTAAAACAATGCCAAGTGAATTAATATTATTCATTTGTTTTGAAGTAATTGTATTTCACTTATTATTTTTCTTATTATTTGTTACTGTAATATATGGGAAAATGTAAATGTAATTTTGTTTTTCATTGAAATATTAATGATGTATTCATGTATACATGTAACTGTTTAATTGTTTTCTAAAAACATCCACTGAGATTATTGTATTTTGGTGTATTGAAGTTGATTTTCGATTTAAGTGATAATCTATTTTAACTAAGGTTTGATATGCAAGTTAGACTTTAGATTCAGTTAACCTGAAGTAGTTTCCATCACAGCTTATAATGAGCACTTTTAACGACATTTGAATCAACAGTGATATTGACACAGTTTGTTTACTCAACAGGTCTTCCGAGTATCGTGTAAATATATTAAAATCTGCCAAAGTATTGACAATATTTACGTATTTTGGAGAAATATTTTCTTCCAAAGAATTCCATTATCAATTAAATGGGTAAATTGTACAAACTAAGCAAGGCTGTGTTACGTATGTATTCTCTATTAAATTAATTTCCATGTTTGCATTCAGCTAATTCTATTTTTAATATATCTTGAGGCTTTTAGTCTGTACGTTGTTTCTCTGCAACCATTTACTGAAACAGACTGAGTATTCTAGAAAACGATGTCACAAATTTGGTTTTATAGAACGTATATCACAATTAATACCTTAGAAGTTTTTACAATAAGTAATACTGTGATAAAAATTCTTTTAAAACTGAGTTTGTATACTAAGTAAAAAGAATAAGTCCTTTCAACTCTGAATTAATAGGATTATGTTACCATTAGTTAAAGAAAATAAGTACTTGCCAGATGTTATTACTTGTAAACTGAAAAACCCCATAAATGGATAGTTTTTTTAATGGTCAAAAGTAATCACAGAATAAGTTCGAAGTCAGTCTAATTCGCAAAAGTCTGAGCGAAACTGTACAGTAGAGAAATTCAATTAGAATGAATCTTATTTCATTGAAAAAAATAACAATCGAAATCGATTGTCAATAATTATCTTATCTTCCACTTCATTTACAACTCAACTGCATGTAGAACAGAACTATGTAGAATTCTAAATATCTACAATTAAAATTTCTTTTAGAATAGTTTGCTTTCACTAAGTATGATTTCTTTCAAGTCAACTTTTTCTTACTCTAATTCGTGAAAGAATCTACGGGCCACGTTATAAAAAAGGTTATCACAATATTACATAAATCAATGGCATAGTAAAATATCAAGCATTCACATTATATTAGATTGCTAGTTAATTTTCAAATCAAAAACGAAACACTTGTCTTATATTCTGAAATATATATATATATATATATATATATATATATATAAACATGGTTGATTTCTATCTATTTCTGACAACAATGTCTTTTCAAAATGTCATACAAAAGTTTAATTTTATTTCAGATGATTAATGATCTCTTTTTACGATTAAAGAAATCTAAGGTAACAATAATTTGAAGTTTACGTTTCTTTTTTTTTCTTAATTTTCACACTTCGGATCCTTTTGACCCAATTTTATTGTAGGCGCCTTTTTTAATTACGCTAATTTATGAACTGTTATTTATAGAATGTTATTGAAAATTTGTTTTATTAAAGTATAATCAGAAGTATTTTAAAATGAACACTCTATATGACTAGATCTTTTATTTTTTTGTGTTTGTTTGATATCAAAACAGAACATGAATGAAGAATGGTATACGTTTTATTATTTGATAATGAAATAACCCTAGTATTTTTGACAAAATGTTTTTCAATAGTTGAAATCATGAGTCAATTAAAGCTAGACCACCATGGAAAATGTGGAAGCACTGGACAGCCGTTTCATCCCACTATGGGACTCCTCACCAGTGCGCATTCACGATCCCGCCTCACGAGATTCAAATCCAGGACCTAACGGTCGTGTGCGCGAACAATCAGCTTATAGAAGAAGTGACCAGTGGAGTTCAACCGGGTCCGTTGTGAGATAGCAACTCACTGAAGTCAATGATAGATATGTCGCTTAATTTCGAGGATTAGTTGAACTTATATATCAACACCGTTGGATACCAGTAGGCTCAGTGGTACAGAGGGTGAACGTTCGCGCGCGAAAACAATACGTCTTGGATTCGAGTCTCACGGGGCGGGGTCGTGGATTCTCACTGCTTTTCAGTGCTTTCAGGTTTTGCATGGTGTTCTAGCTTTGTAGTGTCAGTCATTATTTTAAGCCCATATACTTTATTCTAACTTTCGGACTGCACAATCTATTCATTCTACTTGAGTCATATTTTGACCTTGTCAATTATTCGCTTATCAGTCTTGACTGTTTTTATATGAGCGTATATGTGTTTACACTTCATATCCCATGTCTCATCACATGTCTGTAGTTTATTTTGTCTGCCTATAAATATTGCGTAACGCCTGGCTAGAAATGGAGTTGGCTTCCCGGCCATCTTCCCTGTGCGTCGTTTTGCTTTGCTCTATTTTATTTGCTTCATATATAAAATATATGTATTCACAAGTCCATTCTCGTTATTGACTAACGCGATTAAAGTTGATGATTATATACGAGGATAGGTGACATATATATTTCAACAACAATCATCATTACGACCTAAATGGAGTCAGATCCACGGGCCACTAAATTGGAGAGCCCTTTCGACACCGTTCGATCTAAACGACGACAGAACTGCGGGCCTCCACTAAAGCTTCAATTGACTCATGTTCTCAACTAATAAAAGTGTATTTTGTAGTAAATTGTCTTTACTGTATATTATATTGTCTATAATACATGAACCAGCCAAACAATATTTAAGGTGCTTAATTAAAATAGACAAAGCGTAACTTTAGCTTTTGTTTTCTTCATAAGGAAATATCACTATGGAATAGTTTCCAAAATTACTTCCTTCTTAATAAATAACATATTTAGGGCCGATAAAAGATGAAATAAAATTAGAATAAAACCTAACAACTTGAAATCGATTTAAAACTTCTGTAGAAGAATATAAAAAAAGTCGATCTGGTCATCCCAAAACATTTCTTATTTCAAATTGTTTACTTAAGGATATAGATAATCACTTCTTTTCGTCCATAAATCAGGAATAGTAAATATTTGAGAAGAACGTTTCAGTTGGTCAGATGAAGGTTTTTATGCAGTATCAACAATATATTTATGAAAACAACCAGACACTTGAACTTTAGCATCCAAGTTGTAGAATAAACAACATTTAAAAATTGTTAATGTCTTAATTTTTTTACCACTTCAAAATTATAGCATGTTCATGTTCTGTAATGAAGTATCTTTAATAAAAGTATAATAAAAGTTTTCCCCCTCTATTGTCAACGCTTCGATACCATGAACACAACTGAAAACAAATTGGAAGAATTCCAACATCCAATTATCAGTAGTAGATATTCTATCACATTCATTAAATGGAACTTTCAGCCGGGACGACGACAAATAATTCTAAGCAAAGATGGATAATGGCTAGCAGTGGAATTCAAGACGGGCATTTCGTCCTATCTGGTACTCGTCAGCCGGATGTACTTGCATCTTAAATAATAACCAAGAGCGCTTTTCTGTTTGTTAAATTTAGGGGAGATAACGTTCCACAGATCATAAAAAAACCTATAATCTTTAAAGAAATGTTATATTCCACTCATCTTTGCATTTAGTTTTCCATTTGGTCTTCGACTTGTGGATGTGTCAAAAACAAGCTCCTGTTTTGATCAACGTCAATGTGTTCACAAGTTTACTTGTTTTAGTGAAAGAGGTCATTTCTTAATCATAAGCGAGCTCTCACTGATCGCCACTCAAATCACTACCTTACAGTCAAAATCAGTATAAAGGTGCATTGGTAGCTTGATTCTTGAACACCTCATGAATTGTGGTTACGTTTACCCACCGACAAAGTCTTTCAAAATCAGTTTCATCAAGTGAGTTGTGTAAAAAATGATATAAATCAAGATGTTATGTACTACAATTGTTTAAGTTATTAACCAATTCATTCCTACAACTTAGTTTCAAAAGAAAAAATTCGTTCTTGTATCTTTTAGAGCACTTTTCCAGTAGAGTGTGATATAGATTTAGTTAATGTAGACATGACTGTACAACTTCGATAAATGTCATCATGAAAAAGAAAACCTTCCTGCATGGAAAGTTTTTGTTTTCTATCGATGGCACAATCGGTCTCTTTATTTTTTTGGAGAGTGTTTATACATTGTTTAAGTGTTTAAAAAGAATGATGTTATATATCCTTATATTTTCTTTTGTTGAGCAGTGGTATTTCAAACCATTTTGCACCAGTCGCATATAAATTAAAACCCTAGACATTCTATTCTTTACTGTAATCTCTATACTGGTGGGTAACCATCAACATGAAATTTAATACTGAATCTTCTTGTCGACTGCTTTTAGATTAATATTATTAGGTGAACTGCATTGAGATACCGAGTCTTTTCATTCACTTTGCAGTGTAAATAGGTTGAAAAGAATCGATCAACATGAATAGTAACATAACTTGGTTTACTAATCACTTGTTCTATTATTATGACAAATTATCGAAATTGCAAATGTATAAATACATTTATTATACAAATTTCTTTAAGTTTAAATTTCCAGCATAGCATGTTTACTCTATCTAAACGGTTATGAAAAAGAATTTCTATACACCTCGTTGAAACTCATTAAAGTCTGTACAAACTGTTCTTCCGTATTTTAACAAGATTAGTTTTTACTTAGTGATAATAGTAGTACGTATACATTACTTTGTAAGTTTATGTAAATCTTCATTTGCTAAACATTTTATTATTTCTAAAAAACGTGTATTTTCATGTTTGAACAGTCATCAAGTAAGACGTTTACTAAAATCTGTACGACATTTTTCATATACATATCTAAATATGTTGATTAACATATTTTACAGCACATAATTTATATATACACTACAACAAATTCCTTATTCATGAGTTTTAACGTTAGTGGACAATCTATTATTTAGACATTTAGATTTTACTATTTCAACTGAAGAAGGTTTGACCAGACAGTCAATCACAACTCTGGAGTGATTTAGATTTCAGTTTCAACGATTGTTGAGAATATAATTTTCCTTGTATTGTTTTTTAGCGACGCCATACTTAACTATATTGAAAAGATTCATAAGAAGTTAAACGAATGTTCACTGAAATGAGAAAACTGTTTACAAGTTAATGTTTTCGTTCGTCGTCCCTGTTTTTCAGAAAAAGTAGGAATCATCTATTTACATCTCACTATGCATGTACAACGTTTTATTTTAAGGTAAAGTTAAATATATTTGATGCCAAACCTAGGACAGTTATCATAATGTTTAGTATCGCATATAAGAATTATTTTAAACCTAATAGAATAAAAAAATTATGGATGATACATTTTTTGAATTTCGTATAATTTCGGAAAGTTGAAAGAAAGTACATTATGGTAAACTTCTTAAAAATACCTAAACACTCAATGTCAGTTTAATGCCAAAACTCTTCTATATATACTGTCAGTTTGTGGTTTTCTAAGTCGTAGCTCGAAATACTATACACACAGAATCTAATTTTAGCTTCATACAAGTTTCACAAGTAATGATTTCATTTTCTTGTCATAGTTAATGTTTAATACTAAAACAAAACAAGATCGACACTAGTTGATCAATGACTCATTTTTTAGATAATTTGAAAATACTTGGCGTTTTAACAAGATGTGAAGTGTACGACATAAAAAACTAACATTAATGACTGAATAAAATTCTGAAAGTAAAATCTTTTCATATTTCATTAATGATAGTGTCTTAGTTGACATCTTAATTGCTCCATATTATAATTTTTAGTAGGATGTTTTATGAGAAGTTAAAGTAATATTCAAACAAAGAAAGTTTACTTCCATATAGAATTGGATCTAAAAGTGAAAGGGGTTGGGACGGATTTGACCAAACGTAACTATTTGTTGATTCAGTGAGACTAATTTGAGGATGTCGTACAAAATCGGTTAGTGAGATATGTTTGTCTTCGTTTCAACTGCAGTATAGTGTAATGCATACATCACGAATTAGCATTGATTCGAAATGAAATGAAGCACGATAAAAACCTACACAACTGGAGTGAAATATTTTAAGAAAATAGACCATTAATTCTAATCTGTTGCTTTCGATCTAACTAAGTACCAGCTATCAAGTTTACTTAGCTAGTGGATGAAACCGTGGTGTATGTATGAACTAATGATTCATTTGTACCTGATGACTGCTTGGTTTCGAATTTCAAATACAAAACGTTCGTATTTACCTAGTACTTCTTGGTCAAACTGCGTTATTTCTAGGATTCCTAGTTTGAACTATAATTCAAATACTTCAAACTATCACAGAAACGTTCATCAGAAAACGATAAATTCTTTGAAAAATGGATGGCAACAGATCTGAAATTAAGATTTTAGCAGAGCACTCAAAAACTTGTGCTCAAAACAATCATTAATAAGACTTCCAGTTATACCTGCCTTCATAAAGTCAAATTACAGATAGGTCGTTTTATCTGCTTGTAATGTTTGTATGTAATAATTATTCCCATGTATAATATTCTCAGATAGATGCGAATTTCAAATACAGTGCGTTCGATCATGTTGAAAGAGTTCTCTTTGGCATTCACATTGGTCCATACATGACCAATGGATATGAGTTGGACAGTGTTTTAAATTACTAGCTGCTCTAGAGAATCGGACTACTTTTAATTCTTATAATACCGTCGAACTGAAATGCCAAGTAACATCCGACTAGTTATGACCTTGATCTGTCCACTATTCCTGTACAAGATGTATGTTAAAATTTCCCCATGGCTAATCTACAGTCCTAAAGCCCAACCTACCTAGTATAATCATGGGGCTGGTAATGCGTGAGTTCAACTTGTAATTAATTGAACTTGAATTGGAGGACGATCACATTCACTGAAAAATGATCTACTAAGCAAAAGTTGATCGGTTTCCAAGAAGAGAAAGGAGACAACTGATTTGTAAGGGTTTTTATAGCTCAGAAATTTCAAAAGAGCTGTAATCTATGCTGAGACCGGTGTTTATTTATTATTCTAGTTGGTACAAGCTGCCACAAGTTGATGCATGGTACATACGACTCATCACATATCAGAAGGTAATGTACAGCCCCAAGGAAGTCTGGAGCTTAAATTTTGAAGCGCTAAAGATTAAAGAACTATGAAATGTACAAAGGTCTATTATTATAGCTACACAGTGTAAGACATGGGGAAACACTAGAACCATTAAAAGTCCACAGCAATAGAATCTTGAAAAAACCCACCGAATGACTAGATCCAAAGGTTGTGGAGAAAGTAGTTAATGTATGTGGCGCCTTAACTCCAGCGACACGTTCACGAAAGTATTAATTCCGGCTACTTCGGTGAGTAATTATTTGATTCCGCCTCTAAAAACACCATATCATCATGTCACCAAACGATAACTAGGAGCCAAACGAACGTCAACCACCATACGAAACCAATACTGGATTTTCAAGTGAGGAGCTGTACTATGAAGAATGAACAGTAAATAAGCGGAATAAAGACAAAGATATGCCCAAACAGGGTAATAAGCAGCTGCTCCAATCCAAAATTGAGGTTGGAGGATGGTGATTGCCCGTTTCAGCTAATGTGATTATACTCGTTTAGACCATTTGTTGTTGAGAGAAGAGGATGAATTTTCAGTGGGTATGAGTGTCTGTCCATCTGTCTGAGTATGAGAGCAGTTCATACTGAAATACTTAACACTTTATCTGTTGATGCCCTTATACTAGCTTGGTTTAGGCCTACAAAGAGGATACGCACTTCAAGGACGACGTTCAATAATTGTGCGACAAATCTGGTGCGGTGCCAGTCAGAGATGCAAACGTTTGTGTACGAGCTAATGAGTGAATTTATGAGGACCTTTTATGTCGAGACATCGACTAAAAGTTTCTTCTTACCAATCTGGTCATCACGGAAGTCTGTGGAAAACGCTAATAATAATTACGGAAGGATAATTAAGGTAAAATGATCAACGTGCAAATCATTAAGAACTTTCTCAAGAGAATCTTGGAGGACTCCAAATGCCTAATCACTACAGCTATTAATGAATGCTCTTTGTTACCCAGAACTAATAAATTAAATTACCTTCTGAATGACGAACGACTTCATATAGATAGATATAAATATGACTATGTCCATAAAACATAGAAAACCTGTGGGATACTTTCTAGAGATGTTTTGAAAAGATGGCCTAAGTAGTATGTAAGCACTCTTTGAATGAGACTGTGTAAAATTCTACTTGGTGGAGATATGGTACTCGTTACTAGAATTTCGTCATCCAAAGAGGCTATTTGATACGATCCATAATGTTCACATTGGCGAAGATGAACTTATAAAAACAGTAAATTTCCGTATCAGAAGTGCTTTGCTTGCTACAGATATCAGAGGGCTATGCTTATTAGATAGGATCAACGAACAAAAAAGATAGAGACTATATCAAGAGACTTTCCTACTGAACAACAGTTCTCGCGTGTGAGTACAACGTGGTTCAAATGATTAGGTACTTCGTCGACGCATACTCGATTTAGCCAATCAACTTGTCATCCGTATTGTATAGTTGTATTACAATTCTATGTATTTACATCCTGCTTACCTTAGTTTAGAGTTTTGTGTTTGCCGTTGATCCTCGGTTATGTGCAATTTTATATTGATCTCAATGGATTCAGTAGCAAAACAAGACAATCGAGATCCTGAGTTCCCTTCTGGTTTATTAACTATTGTTATCTAGTCATCCGTTTATCATTTTTACCTAGTATTTCTTCATTTAACGCTCGCTCTTAGCTGTCATTATAACTGGTTTGCGTAAGATCACCTCAATATTGTGAAAAATCGTAGACTACCCGTGAGGAATTGAATTTGTAGTACAATTGCGATAAAATTCATGTTAACGGTATAGTGTCGGGAATAGGAAAGGATAGTTTGGTAGCATAGATGATGGAGCTCTAGCTGAAACGAAGCTATATGCTACCAGTGTTTTCCGCTTGAGGACTGGTAGGAGACGTATCGTACTAGTGTTCCCGCGATGTATGGTGACAGCTAAGCTAAGATGGTCGAATAGTGAATTTTTAGCTTAACTCCGTGTAGCTTAGGCGTGTTTGTGAAAGATGATATGAAATCGCAACAGCGAGAAAAACAAATGCGAGCCATCCACACATGGGCTCGAGGAAAATAAACGGAGTTGGATCCACAGACTAAGTCTTCGTAATGCGGATAAGTCAGAGATTACTGAATCTGGTTACGTCAGAGGCAACCCTCATTTAATTGGACAGTATCCAGCGTCAGACTGCCCTTGTACGGAGGGAAAACTGCACCAAAACGTTGTGCTACAGAGCTGGATTGTAAAGACATATTGACAGCGACAGTGACAAGTGAACGAGCAAGCGTCCTACCTGTCCCGTAGATGTGTGTATTGAAATTTGTGTCTCTGTTCGTGTTATTTCGTGTTTTCTGTGTCTAACGTCCAGTCCTTGTGATCCACGACATAGCGTTCAGTTGATTATTACGTGCTGATGAAGAAACGTTTACCTCTTGGAAACTTTGGGGAGAAATAACGTAGTTCATTCATCAGCGACGTCTCTAATAACCTTGAAAGCCTAAATATTATTGTATCTATTTGCCTCTTAGTCATTACCCTTTTTCGAAAGTTGTATTATTTTTCAAGGATTAGTGAAGATACTCTTGCTGTGTAGAATGAAAGCTATTTTGGGATGTAGTTTAAACGATTAAATGGTGCATTTTCAGACTTTTTTCGTCTAACTCTATATTTGACTCACTTTTTGATATCCATTCAGCATGGTTTTATTGTTGTGAAAATACATTTGATTCCTGTTATAATTAGTTTTGGCTTGAGCCGCTTGTGTTAAGGTTAGGCGAACCTTTTTCCTTCTTCTACTATCCATCATCGTCCACATCAACAACTTCAAGTCCGAAGTCGATACCAACCTTCTGCATAGCCATGAGACCTCTTCTGCGATACTCCCACATCCCACAGTCCCCAATACGGTCCAAATAACCGAAATCTGACAAATACCAACCCAATTTTAAAATGCCTCAGGCAATAAATCCTGAAGATAATGACCAGTAGCACGTTTGTCAGGACCGTCAAACCTTATGGAATAACTGGTATATGATCATCTAAGCAACTAATTGCTACTTGTGAACATCTTTTCAACTCAACAGAACAACTACGAGAAGAGCCACTTTTGCGTCACTGATCTGAAACTGTGGTGGATAGATGGACCGCCATCCTCAAAAACAAGGGGGAATCGGATGCCAAATCTCTCAACTTTTCGAAAGTTTTAGATGTGGTAAGGCATACTGGTTTTATCGGTTGGCCGAACCATTAGGCATCATGTCATCATTGGCTGGTGACTTTAGGCCTTGAATAAATGATTAACGTTTTGAAGTCAGAAATAACTTTACGTTTTCTCAGGTTACATAACGCTCTAGAGGGCTTTTCTTTAGCACCCCTCATACACTTAACTTTGTTTACGTTTGATTTTATCAACACATTGAATTAACTTAAGTAAGAGACAGTGTTATTCATCTGCAACCATTTGAATCCTATAAACTTCGGTATTTCACTCATAAAACATGAAATCATTTAGGAATCGATGCCTTGACAGCACATACCCTTAGAGATTCTAGTTAAAACAAGATGATTTTCACTCAAAAGTGAAATTCTATTACATGGAATTCGTTTGTCTTACTTTAGTTCATTGCAAAAGTTTGAATCTACACATTGGACAATGTACTTTTTTGTGTTTGTATTTACTACATTGATTTATATCCCTAGGCTACTGAATGAACAGAAATGATTACAGACAATGATGAGGATTTATATGAGGGTTTTGATAAACTCAACAGCAAGTTGGAAGTTGAAGAATTCGTGAATGACACGGGATTTCAGAACGTAATTAAAAATACCAGTTATGGTAGAAAACCACCGGTACATTTCTTTTTTTCATGATCATCAATGTTATAAACTCATAGCAACTGAAGGTTGTGATCCGTAAATATCAGAAGATTGTTTACTCAGCTATCACCTTGCAACAGAATAGCATCTTAATTTCGAATCTTTAAGTGTAGATTGATACTTCACTTCGAGAATCGTAGCTCAAAATGTTCGGATATCATTTAGTCAAATAAATTTCTAAGGGCTTAAACATGTAAACCAATTTAAAAATCGTACAAGACAGAGCTATTACTATAAAATGTGGCCATGAGACACAGTTTTGCTGTATACAAGTAAGAAATTCGAAAAAGTTTCACCAGAATCATAATTTCAAATGCGTTTCCAAAACCCATCTAGAATTGGAGTGAACCCCTTCGATACATGTTATAAATCAATCGTCTTCTAAGAACAACCGTTACGCGTGTTTCTAATGTAAATTTCTTTGGATACAGCTATGAGAAATTTTTAACTTGATTGACTCCCTAAGATATTATTAACTAGCATGTTAATCTGTCTACAATTTGTTTATTCTAATAGCACACTGACTTTTTGGTACTTAAAGGGAATGTATTGTATGTTTATATTACCCTTTGTGATTTACTTCAATAACCATATGAATATTTACCACACTTGTTTGTTTTATGCTAGGTGCTTGATCGAGGCTTAAATACATCAGTCGTTCGTGGATCGATAGGAAGAGTACCAACATCGGGCAACTTCAGATTGGTTACTGCTTCAGGACTTGCAGGTGGGGATTTCGGAAGACCAATGACATCTGTCAGAGCTGCTGGGTATTCATCTATGGGTCGGAGACTGAGTACGGGAAACCAAGGTTGGTTAGGTGGTCAAACTGTCCCAGCAACGGTTGATGTCAGTGCTGTTCCCCCACTCGAAAGTAAACCAGAAGACAGTTCTGAAGAACGTATCAAAAATATGGAAAAAAAAGTAGGTATATTGTTGATTGTATGTGAATGTTTCAGGCAGATACTGTAAACACTGAAACTTTTCCTAGTCATTTTCACACTCCAAACTGACAATTTACAAATCAGAAACCTATTCAAAAAATTAAAATATTATTCGAATTGTTTATTTACAAATCACTTTGAGTGGTAAATATAACTTTTGAAATAAATCAAAAGTAATATCTATGGGTTTTGAAGATGAGCCATGTTCGTTTTTTCGAACGCTACATAAAATGTATAGGCTGAATGCAACGGGAGTAACTTTATCAAAATTTGAAACTCATTATCAATTACAACATGATGTCAGATGCAGACATCCTCTCAAGGTTTTTCGCAGTCAATGGTATCAGTGACTGTGGGCGTTGAGTGATATGGCTTAGGATCGGTCTCAATGGGCTTTGTGCATTAGCTCGCTTTTATTCTTCCGGTCTAAAGTTCCAGCATTATTTCATGCTTGTCTTTCTTACTGTTCTTTTAAGTCTAATCTCTTTCATTACCATTAGCGCTATATTTTTTAGATCTCTTTCTCCATATGAATTGTTAGTTTTGTCACGTTTTCCCGATATGATGTGGCGTCATGGACAATCGCACATCTTTACAGGGCCCTACCTTCATTATGACCTGCTAACTGACTGAAATTATGTTTAATTAAAGATGCATGCTATTTTAAAATATAATCCAGTCGTAAAATATCCAATTGAAGACCTTTTATCCGCCTTGTAAGAAAGAAAGATCGAGATCTTGTGTAACAATGAATATTTTTAGAGACCTAAAGCTGCCATCTTTTTGTCTGCTACCATTCCAAGGTCCTTCACCTTGCCTGTGGGTAAGACGCCAGAAATATTCGAAGGCGAGTAAAACTCGTTGAGAGTATTTGAGCAAAGTTTAGACGGTGACCAGCACTATAGTCTATTACGCACATTTTTTATCATTAGGAACCCTTCAGCTGTATACATCTACACCCTAGTATTTGGTTTCTGTACGAACAAAGGGTCTAGCTAATTCTAATATTTATAGGGAAACAAGTTATTCATAGGCCACGGTAAGCCTACTTAGGCAGAAGAGACCCATGTAAGCAAAACATTACATATTTACCTACTAACTTTGTACAAACAATGGCTATATTCTTAGGACATTTTTTGCTGTCGCAAATCATACGTATTTCGTCTTTACGTAAAGTCGTTTATTCAGCACGACCGTTGACAAGTTTTTGCCTATATCAGTGAAATGCTTCAACAATATATTGTTCACACGGTATTACACTTATGCTAAAGTATTCTATATATCCTATAATACGGTTGAAACTTCCTAATAAATAATGTATCCGCCATAGTAAATACATTCGTTACAAAGCAAAATATGAATTGAAGCCATTTCTGACTAAAAATATTCAAACATGTCTGTGAAAATTCATTTTAAAAGTGTCTCAGAGTTAGATTGATCGTGACAGTCCGTTATGAGGAGTAAAAGCTCTCTACGTTGACCTTTTATTTCCCGATGGTTTGTAAAAATATGACTTTAGCCTTTTTTCCTTTTGCCAGGTTAATCACCTAATTGAAGAAAGTTGTGTTGCTGCATGTCAAGCAGAAATCACTTTAGCATTAGAAAAAGCTAAGGAAGCCAGTCGCAAAGAACGTGTACTTGCTAGACAACGAGAGCAACTTGGTGTCGCAGATCAAATCAACTTAGACTTAACGTATTCAGTGCTATTCAATTTAGCTAATCGTTATACAGCAAATGGAATGTATCAAGAAGCACTGAATACTTATCAAGCTATTGTTCGAAATAAAATGTTTGCCCATGCAGGTTTGAATTCTTTTGATCGTTGCGCTTTAAAGCCTACATATGCCATTGGCAAATTACCATCTCAAATTTTTGCTCACCATTAGATTTTTCTGCATCATAACAAAAACCTGTACTTAAGAGTGACTTAATACTCTAATCAAAAGTCAATATTACTGTAAATTATCTTCACTGACAGCTATAATTTTTCATTAATGTTTCCTTGACATAACGAAACTCTTGTTTCGTGACATTTGAAAGCAAGGAACGTCTACCATTTTAAAATAAACTACTTATCTAATAAACTTCAAACTGTGACATGCCGCCTCATTTTCAGAAGTAGATTAATATCGATTCATGATAGTTTTATGCTAACAACTTCCTGTATCAAAACAAATTATAAAATATATGACATATTTATTTAGCAGTTCAACAATGTGAACTATCAAGTTAGTCAAAACTCACTTATTCAGCATCAGCTTATGATGGCTTAAGATTTTATATCACACTTATTCTGTATTTAGGTAAGTTAACTGAACAGGATCAGCTACTTTGAGTCTAAACAAAACATCTTGGTATCTTGAAATTACCAGATATTCTGGAATGACTATAAATTAGTTAACATCAGAGAACAAAGTCATTTTGTATTACACCAAGATTTTTCACTGAACTGACGCTAAAAATCGTAAAATAGGAAAAAACGTTTTTCTAGTACTTGATAATACTAGTTTGGTCGTTTGATATGAATTCAAGATTAATGTTGTTTCAATCATCGCCCAATAATCAACTTAACTTGTCTATTTTTTAGGTCGACTCAAAGTAAATATGGGAAATATTTATTATATTCAAAAGAATTACTCAAAAGCTATTAAATTTTTTCGTATGGGTCTAGATCAGGTGCCTAATACACATAAATTAATGAGGTAGTTTCCACTTATTATTCAGATAACTGTTTACTTCAGAATAAAAATTATGCAGAATATTGGTATAAGCTTTGTTAAACTTGGTCAATTCAGTGAAGCCATCACAGCATTCGAGCATATTATGCAAGAGGAACCGGATACAAAAACTGGTTTTAATTTAATTGTTTGTTATTTTATCAAAGGAGATCGTAATAAAATGAAATATGCATTTCAGCAACTACTTCGAGTGGATCTACACTTGGATGACGAAGATCGATATTTACAACACAATGTAGGAATTTAATTTTCTTCCACTATTTTTCTTGATTATTTCAGGATGATAAGCAATATGATTTGATCTTGGAAGTGATTCAAAATGATGAACTGCGTCAATTTGAAAAGAAAAAGTAAGTTGATAGCATACCCAGTCTTTGGTAAGTATATCGAACAATAAGAAGTACATTAATATACTCTTATAGACACTTCACGAAGAGCTGTAGATTTACTTGTACAGCATTTTAGTATGATACGAATTCTTATTCACAATGTTTCTTGATTTTTTTTGGTTGTTTATAATGTGGTAACAACATAAGTACACTCAATGATTGTAGTTTGTTTACCTTCGATTACTGAGATCGTAAAAAATAGACATCCTGTTAGGCCTTTTTGTTTATGTATTTTATTCATCTTTTTTGTTTCTGAATGCACACATTATTTTGATTGATTTTCTATCATTCAGATATCTCAATATGTGATGTATACTTCTAAACAATTTCTCCATGTCCATATTATTATCGATTATCTTCATGCTAGTTCCTAATAACCACTGTTCTAACAAACAGAGAAGCAAACACTAAATAAGGAACTACATATTAAAACAAGGTAGTGGTAAAATAACTTATGAATCACTTGGTTATGTTGTGACGTAACTAAGGTACCCAATTAAGTATCACCGGATGAACAATATAGAATAGTGAGCTAGAAAACGAATAGGGCTTATCAAACCTGATCTTTATGTTGATCCGTGTATTTGTTTGACGTTAATTTAAAATACAGATATAGTAACATGTATTGCAGAAAATCAATCGTATGCGGTTATTTTATGCGTTCAAACGTTTTTCCATATTTTTATCATTATTGTCATCACAATTTCCAATCATTTCTTGCTATTTTGTCAAGTCTAACTAACAGTGCGGATTTAAAACGTATTCCGAAATTTAAGTGATCCACATTTGTGACAGTAATTACATTGTTTCAATCTGTTTATTACCATCTAAAACATAATAATTCAGTCACTTCTGGTAGACGATAAACCATACTCAATATCTCAACTGTTGTTGAAACTTAATGTCAGCTCACATTATAAACCTTCAGTCTTTTGATTCCTACCGTAAAGATAAAATGGGTATAAACGATGCATATTTGTACAAGATATCATCGAATTTCTGCTACTAAGAGCTGAAGTTCACGAAATCAATTAAAAGAATTGCTTCATGCAAACTGCGTTAGTTAACACTAATAACTAAAATCCAAGGCTAGTCTACATTACAAAACTACCACTGTAAGTGAATTGGTTTCACAAGCACCAAATCACTTTCTAAACAACATTAATAAAGTGTTTATTAATTAAACTAAAAGACAGTAGTGAAACATCTAGTTAACCAGCAGTCAATTTTAGTTTGGACATATGTGATTAAATTCATTATATTATTGTATGTGTACTCATATAATTTTGGATTTGAGGACCAGTTGAATTTAGTTTATTTATACACAGTTTTGTCAAAGAATTCTACATAAATTTATCCAGATATCTGTTTAAAAAGATACATCGATTGTTGTGAAGAATTTATCCTACTTCACGATAGCTATACAAGTTCCTCTGAAACTGATAGGCGATTTTAGTTTTCTTGAGTTCTAATAAAACTACAGATTGTTATTGGGGGGCTATTTTTCTACTAAATCTGAACTAATGAATGATTATTGAACGCTTATTAAATTTGATTTAAATTACCGCAAATTATTTCTTGACTCATTCCTGTTTGTTTCAAACAAAAGGAAAGTTCAAGCAGAAAATTTCATTAAATTGGCGGCCAAAATAATTTCCCCAGTAATTGAATCCAATTTTTCTATTGGGTATGATTGGTGTATTGACCAAGTGAAAATGTCCTCTTATCATGAAATTGCACATGATTTAGAAATTGATAAAGCTGTGATGTTTTTAAAACAAAAAGATTTCCACCAGGTGAGATTTAGATCTAAATATGTACTTAAAATGATGTTTATACACAGGTTTTTATTATCATGATCAGTTGTTTCTTTGTCAAACATGAATTGTTGTAATTTTAATCTACACTTTACTGTCACTGAGACGTTTATTTTGATGAAAAGCTGTTCTTTATACTTGCTTTCGTAACATATTACGACGTAAGTCACATAAAACCATAGAAAATTAAGAATAAGTGTTCCATATGCTCAATTTACTAGTAAATAGTAGTTTTCGTCCATCTGATTAACATATTGGAACAAAATATGAATCATTTAAACATGAACCAGAAAGAGAAATGAAAAATAAGTCAAAATAAAAACTCCCTGAATCTTGATAAAGCATCTTTGCACTGCTGTAATTGATTTTGTACTATGTCACATAGTATATCTAATTGTATATATGTGAAGTCACAACATAACATTTTCTGAGGAAATCATTGAACGTTGTATCGCTGTAAAACCTTAATGACACAATGATAGGTAATAAATCGTATAGAAATAGTTGATGAATACATGTGTCTTTATTTGCGACAAATAAATTTTAGCTTTAGGCGAGCATTACGTTAAGTATTATTCCCATCACCTACTTTTTATGTTATTACTTACTTACGCCTGTTAACCCTCGTCGATGAGCATAGGCCGACCACCAGCACTTTCCATTCTACGTTATATTATCTTCAAAATAATTGCATAACTATTCAAGAAGTAGGTCAGTAAAAAGACTTTTTGATATTTCCCAATACTATATTCTTAATTATTTATGAATATGTAATATGAATTAATAACTCTGTAAATGTAAGTGACCTTTTGACACAAAAATACCTTATAATTCTTCTCATCTCTTGATCTTGACAGTTTGGTAAATATTATAATTTAACTAAATTAAATTTATCGCCGAAATCACTGGAACACTATTTAATACTGGAAAGAAAAAGTTGTATACGTTTAGCATTTTATCACATTACTAAAATATTCATCTATATAAATCTTTCACTTTCAACTATCAACAATTTTTTATGATTGTTAAGGTTAAATTTAATTTTTGAAGTTAGTTTTTTTGTAAGCAATGATAGATAGTGGCTAGCAGTGGAATCCAGGACGCGCGTTTCGTTAGGACTCAGTAGCTGAGCCGATAATGCGATGGTGTTTGGAGCGAATGGTACTGTGTTCGATCCTGGAGTGAACATCAACTCAGATGCAGGTACATCCAGCTGACGAGCCCCAAATAGGACGGAAACTCGTGTCCTGGATTCCACTGCTAGCCACTATCCATCATTGCTTACAAATAGCTTGTGAATTAAGGTAATATCGAGGCATACGCACAGCATGCACATTTGCCAATAACAGACTGATCAATTGCAGTCTTAAACCTCAATGGGAAGATACAAGCCAAACAATACCAAGGGAATTAGTTTTTTGTTTGAAATGATTCCAGTTTGGCTTTAAATTTATGTTTTCTTTTTTTTAAGGCAATTGTTACTCTGAAGTCGTTTGAAAGAAAAGATACACGTGTTGCATGTACAGCTGCTACAAATTTATCATTTCTATACTTTCTTGAAGGTGATTTACTACAAGCTGAAAAGTATGCAGATCAAGCTTTATCTGTTGATCGATATAATCCTGCAGGTAAATGATTTACGATGTTGTTATATTTTCTTTTTAATTAACACTAATCGGTGTATCAAATACAATATTATTTGATTGTAATGCATCTATCCAATACTACTGTTCTTCATCATTTACATTTATTTACAAAGCGGTTTGATACTATAAAATAATCTTTTAACATTTACGCTCAAAATTTCATATCAATTCATCCATTCTAAAAAGCAAACATGTTTAGAGTTTATCACAAAAAATTCAGATTATTTAACTAACATATTGAACTGTGTTGTTAGATCTATCGAAGCGTCTAGGTCACCCGATTGAGATACGTGCGAATGCAAAGTTCCAAAACAACGATTTGTCTACAATAGCGGTTCTTTATTGAATAATACACAAAATTTAGTTACAAACCTCAACTTGTGAGGTGTATGGGGAGTTTAGACACGTCCTTTAAGTATGAAATAAAAGGGCTCCCTGTGACAGTAACATAAAGAATAATTACAACATACGATAGTACAAACGACAGCTGATAGCTGTGTCTAAATTTGATAACAATTTATGAACAACCGAAACCCGAACCAAGAGCAAAACAATATGGAAACTGTTGCGCTTAAACAAATGCACGAAAGTGTGGATAACCGCTACAGTGATTATAATCATAGATACAATGATAAGTACAATAAACGTTATAAGTATATGTGAACATTTCAGAATTTAACACTACAACTTGCGTTACAACAAGTGTACAAATTGTTGGGAATACAACTGCTTACTCAATGTAAATAAGTAGTATAAAACAATATACAAAGGAGTGGAAAAGGAGAGAGTAGGAACAATGTAAGACAAACTTGTGTGACAAACACGTGTAATTATGATTCGAAGTGATCTACTGCATGGAATAAGTAATTTTATATAACGTTACGTGACAATAGCCTATGAGGTTAACAAAAATGTTTTACTGCCATCAGTCAATCAGTTTTTCTTCGAATGTTTGTGCATTACATCGTTATCTGTTACAGTCTACTTTTAAATTTATTTAATTTACATGTGATTGGACTGTGATAGTTCTAAGAAATAGCTAAAATTCACTGTAAAAAACTCACCATTTTATTTATCAAAGATACTGAGTTGGGTATTTTGAGAATATGAAATTTTTATCAACCGCAATTGTTATATCTAGTGCTTTGATTGTTAATATACTGAGTACAACTTGAGCACTCAAACGTTAGAACCCTCCCAAGTCGCAAATGTGAAGACAAAACACAAGTGAAAGAAATGCTATTCCAAAAAGTATCACTTATTGCACAAAACTGTCAGGTGTTTATAATTTTTATTAAAACCTACATCATCAATATAGTCCTCTAATCCGCATACAGGGGGTTATTAGGGGTTGTCTAATAGAGAAGCTAAACGTAGGGATTCTGAAACATTATCCTAAAAGACAATTGGACGGAATATCTTCGGCTCTTTCTGAGCTTCTTAGAGTTTCCTCAAGTTCATCAGTAAGCCGTCCTTACACCAATCCATACCCAGTATTCTTGTAAAGCAACTCAATTCAAAATGAACTAAAAGAATTATCACATTAAAATTATCAAATACTTTATAAATGGAAAACGGAGAAATTTAAGAGAATTTTACAGCAAATATAACTTATCATTTCATATCATGGAGATTTGGGGTGATCTTGAAAAATATGATCAAAGAAACTAGTTTAACAACCACAGTTATAATTCGAAAAATAATACACTAAACGCATAACACTACTGTTGCATAAATAAACTGATTGAGCGTTAAAATTTTCATTGAGCGTAGCTCTATGTCTAATAAGTCAATGATAGTATATTTACTGTTGTTTTAAAACACGTACAAAGGAAAATAAATCAAAGTTCATGACTTTGATACTTATCTACTGTAGTACACAAACAGTCATCAATCCATCATGGTCAGAATGCCAAATACTTGATATATTAATAACACAACAACAACAAAAAGGTAATCATTTACTAGAAGTCTTAGTCATTACGAAGCTTTTTTTAGAAAATTTAGGTTCCATACTAATATACATATTGTAAATAATAGATAATTTGCTAAGCTGTCATCTTTGACAAAGTTGTCATTCATTTATACAAGGATAATTTTTTATATCATCTTGTTAGTTCATCATCAAAAAAGCATTTATTAAAATCCTTCTTAAATTTATTTGTCTTAAATTGTAAGAAACATATGCTCACGTTTCACTGATTTGAGAGATAACTGAAATAAAAGGATATAGATTGTAGTGTCGATTACTATGTTAAGCCCATATAACTTATTCTAGATTCTGGACAAGCCAATCCATCCATTCTTCTTGAATCACGTTTTGATCTTGTTAATTATTTACTTATCAACCCTGACTGGTCTTATATGAACATATGTGTGTACACTTCTTATCCCATTCATCACACGCCAGGAGCTTAACCAACTGGACCATTGAGCCGAGACTGATAAGTCCTGGGTTCGAAGCCCGCGAGGCGGGGACGTGGATGCGCTTTGCTGATGAGTCTCACAATAGGGCGAAAAGGCCGTCCAGTGCTTCCAGGTTTTCATGGTGGTCTAGCTTCAATTGACTCATGATCTCAACTGTTGAAATTACTACAATCTCCACAAAACCCCTTCTGACTACTGTTACAATATAGGTAGTCATATTTTTTGAGTAAAAAAATGTAGTTCACAAATACCGATTAAACGGACAAAAAAATAAAACTAAAAATAAGATGCACAACAGATTAGGAAGTTCATTTTTCACAAGACCTAAATTTAAAATCTTACATAATTTCAAATCAAATAATCGAGTATTCGAATAAAGAAGAAACAAATATCATAGCAGAATTAAATGAATTCATTTATCTCGTGGATTCCCCTCAGCTGCTTATAAACTAAAACCATAATATTGATTATTAAAATGAAACAGATGTATGTACTTCGCATCAGCAATATCTAGAATAGACAGTTTAAATGTAGTATTAAGAGAACATAGTACAGAAGAATTAAAATTGGTCAAACATTCGATTACTTATAAGTTAAATATATGAATATTATAGAAGAGTATGTGAACGAAAATGTTTCCTTCTCGAAACAGACAATAGATTGCGTAATATAGACTGACTGAGTAAAGCTCAGTAGTAAGGACTAAGAGACTAGAGTTTCGATTAAAATTTGTGGAAAAATAAAAATAAAGTCTTACTCAATTATCTCACAAAAATAAGGTCAGCGGGGAAATCAAGGTTTATATTACACAATCTATTGTCTGCTTCGAGAAGGAAACATTTTTGTTCCCATAATCGTTCATATACCATATGGAATACCAACTCCCTCCAAGATTTCAAGTACCGCTGCCGACGATTGCTAACTGAAATATAATCCAGGTTCAAGGTTTGCTGCCGACTATCCAACTACCTAACATATTCAACATAAATACCTCCGCTTGATGCACCGCGGTTAATAAATAAAGCATTACCAGTTTTCACTATTAACTTTATCACATTATGTATTTTCTATTACCTGACACTTTTTTTAATAATTTAGCGCTTGTTAACAAAGGCAACGTTTTCTATAAACAACAACAATATGAGAAAGCTCGAGATTGTTACTTGGAAGCATTGCAAGATGATACACAATGTGTAGAAGCTTTATATAATCTTGGTTTAGTATGTAAACAATTAGAAAGATATGAAGAAGCTCTTGAAGCCTTTTTCAAACTACATTCTGTTCTAAGAAATAGTGCACCAGTAGTTTATCAGTTAATGGACATCTATGAGAAATTGGGAGATCCTACGCAAGCACAGGAATGGTAGATATAAAAACATTTTTATCTTGTATGTTAATTTAACTCCTAAAAATCACTTATGGAACACTTTATATGTCACTGACCATATTCATGCTGTCTGAGTGAAATAACTAAATAATTAGTTAATGCCTTTTTTTCGTCAACACAACCTAGAAACTGGTTTAACTATAGTTTCAAGGACACCAGTTATAATTCCTTATCCAAAAGACATATTAAACAATTAGCTTCCGTGTATTAAGTATTATCAAGTAGTTTCATTAAAGGTTTATATTACAGTTGAATTCTATATTGCGTTATATTTACATAAAAAGTTCCACAGCTTTATATGTGATAACAATGTATTAAGTCATACGTCCACCTTAAGTGATCATATATATACAAGGAATAGAATTTATACCATTCGCCCAATAGTGTCACAAATGTTAGTTAGTCGAATACAACTCACATGTTTTACTGATGATAATGATAGTCCACCTCCATATCGAAAAGCAATTAACAGAATTTTATTACCACCGTAGCTTAAACAGTGACAAGATTTACTTACGCCTGTTACTCCCAATGGAGCATAGCCCGCCGAACAGCATTCTCCGACTAACTTCGTCCAAAATCTTCCTTTCTAGTTCTATCTAATTGTTGTTCATTCTTTTTATATCTGTCTCCATTGCTCAGAGTAATGTATAGGAGGATTTAGTGAAAAAATTTACTTCTCAGTAGTTAATTAATGTAAAATGAGATGAATAAAATATTCTTAAACTAATTAAATTAGCATATAACAGAATGTAGTTTAGAACAAGTTTGTTAACAAGTGGTTAGAACCAACATTTTTTTAAAGCCTCATTAATGCATTGGTTATAATTCAGTTAAGAATATTAATAATCAGTAATCGAAATAGTGTTTTAACTATTTTTGAGTGTCCCCTAACTACACTAAAATAGATTTTCTTAAACAAGGATTATAAATTTCTTTTTAGAATTAGTGTGTCTTAATAGGGCATATTGATTACTTATGATTATTCGCAAACTTCTCTAATTATGCTTATTCATTAATCCTTGTTTAGTAAACAAACTTATTTTATAAACTATAGTTAATAATGATGAGAAGTGTTACTAATCTCATCCTCCAAATATATACAGATTCACAGTATAAATGATAATAAGTAATATATTTAGTATATAAAGCATTTCTTCACTTTAATTTAATGACGACAGTGATTAAAAAAATTGAATGGACTTCCAACCTGTACTATTTAAAAATAACGAGTCTAGATTTACCCTGGTAATGAAACTAAACTAGAATAGTAAATAAATAAAACAATAATTTTTAGTAAAAATCAAATTAATACAGTGAACTGTTAGTTGTAAACTTAATATACAAATTGATTTCCATTTCAATGAGGTCAACGAAACAATCAGAATATTTATCAGTATAGTTTTCTATGGAAATTGGTTTAAATCTCAAACAGATCTTAGCTAAACCACCACTGAAAACCAGGAAGTACTGGATAGTTGTTTTATTCCAGTTTGGGACTTTCCAACAGTGCGCATTAACGACTGGGAAAATGAGGATCTAACTTAGAAACTCCCTTATTGCGCGAACGTTTAACCTGCAGACCACTGGACTGGAATTCAATAGTCTACAAGTCTAACTTCAATCAATATACGGCATTGTGTGATCATCCACCTTTATCTTTCGTAAGTACCTTCCTCACACACAACACAAGTTAGCTTCACTGGTTATCCCTTCTCAACAGAACTTCAGTAAGTTGCATTTCTTAACCAGTCACTGCTAAATATGTGATTTTTATGAGTATGGAGTTCACTTCCATGTAGCGGGATTGAAAATGAGCAGTACTCAGAAGTCCCATACTAGGGCGAAACCAATATCCAGCTCTTTAAGATTTTTAGTGACGGTTTAACCAAAATCCCTTCATGACTTAATTTATGGAAATTAGAATAAATGTTTAACAATTTGTGCATTCGAGTATAATTGATTTATAAAATCAAACATAGTTTTAAGAAATATAATCTGGTTTAATGTTGTTTTAGGGAGATATTTGCTTTGAAAGAAAAAATATTATGTAAGATTCATATGTTGATACTTTATTGACCATAAACAAATCAATATTTTATTCACAATGATTTTAGGGCAATGCAGTTACATGGTATGGTTCCAACTGATCCTTTTCTTCTACAAAGATTAGGTGATAGATATGAACAGGAAGGTGATAAATCTCAAGCATTTTCTTATTATTATGATGTAAGTCCGTTGGTAAAAACTGATGAAATTATATCAGTGTAGCTATGTTCTTTTGTAAATATAAAGACTTTTACATGATCTTTGTCAAACATTATAACATGGAGTAATTTCCTATTTTCATGTTCTTTTCGTTTGATTAGTTTTTATTGAAAATGTAATGAGCACTTTGAAAGTTATTATCTTACAATGTGTTAGGTGGTAACAATTAGCCATACATATCTCTGTTGTTAATTAACATGTTCTTTTTGGATAGATCTTGAGTTTGAGATTTAAATCTCGTGAAACTCATGCGATATATGTTATGGTTAATAATTTAATATTAAACACAATGAGCTCAAATTTTATGCTACTTAGTTTGCATGCATTTTGATGGTATGGCTACTTCTGTCTTTATTATTTCGTACATAGTTTAATTTACACTAGTTAACTATTTGTACATTTATGTAAATATAGTGTATGCACTTATGCTAAAGATTTCTAAATCATATTTACTGCAATGCAAGTAAAACCCTTTAATGAATGTTAGTCCATTAGCTTTCATAAACATAACAACAGTAATATTATTGATAATTTAGTAGATAGAAGGACCTGTTTCTAAAAATTTGTGAACTATGAACTCCATGTCACATGCATATACACAAATAAAATGAACAAATAAATTCAAAGGACAAATGTCGTTTGTTTGTTAATAAACATTTCTGCACTATGAGATCATATTCACAGTTAAAAAAAAATGACACTTTAGAAACTAAATGGTGTGCTAAGTGTTAGTGAAAGACAGCTTCTAATAGTATATGACAACGATATGAATTATATCCATTTTCAGTTGTCTGAAGATGACCAGGTGACAAAGATCGGAATGTATGAACTCAAGTGATTGACTGATGTAGTACGCAAAGCCTCTTATTCTTAAAATAACAAAACATCTTAGATAATTTTATTGATATTTCAATGTTGTATTATTTAGTATTGAATTAAGAATTTCAGATTTATGTTATCTGCTTATAAATCTACATCGTGCTTTAATTCCAATAATCTAAACAATAAAAATTTGATTAAATTTAATTTCAGTCATTTAAATATTATCCATGTAATTTTGACGTAATTGAATGGTTGGGAGCATACTATATTGAATCACAGTTCTGTGAAAAAGCTGTGGCTTATTTTGAACGCGCTAGTTTAATGCAGTAAGCAAGACTGCTATTGTTTATATCTTCTTTTTTGTTTTGTGAACAAAAGTAAATAATAATTTCATTATATGAACCTTTTAAAACTTAAAACACTTTGTTTCACCAGGAAATCATCGAGAAAAATCGTTAAACATTCAGTGAAAAAAAAAACTAATACTACTACAGTAAGTACCAAACTGCAGTTATCAGCGATATTCAGTTGAACCTACATTACGAATATTACACACCATTTTTAAAACAATTTGACCCTAACTGAATAAGATTGAGAATTATTACTTTCACATTGTGAAAAACTGCTTATATCGAATAGTCTTGAGTGATCGAAGTAAACTGAAGAAATTTTCTAAGAGAAATTATGGACCAGTCGACAGCACGTGAGAAAATTTACAAACTTAAAACGTCAGTAATACCATACCCTGAATGTTTAGATTAATTTTCTAAGAGAAACGAAGTTTCTACCTAGGCTACTTAACAAGTAATAGTAATCATATTACTTAAATAAAATACTGAGCTGTTTAATACAATAACTAGACTGTTTATCGGTTCCATTTACTTTTCAACAGCGTTCAAAACCAAAATGTATCATCGATTGCCTTACGTTAATTGACTAAATTAAGATATAACATACAAGCAGTTAACTTTTTTATTCAAATGTCTATATTGTAAGTATTTCATTAGAAATAAACAACGAAATTAGCCTCAGTATCTGTAAAGACAGAGTATTTTTATACTGTTGCATGTTTTGAAATAAGCTGATTGGTTTCCAAGCTCCCGTTATTGTTCTAGACAAAAACATCAGTACCTACTTCCGTGGAGATAAACACTAAACTATCCACTGTCGATAAAGCTAGCTGTGTTCGATTATCTCCGCTTGTTTTATTATTTTCATCTATCTTTGAATCTCCGTTGGCTAACCAGTCCGATTGACCTCTGATTAAGTGAATTCAAGACGCTGTGTCTCTTGATTGAAGTTTTATCTGAATAGAGTGTTGATAGAAATTCTGTTAGTTTTCAATAGCAGAATATTATAACAGAAGATACATAAGTAATGAAGAAATTCAAAAATTAACACCTAATGACATGTAAGCTTGAATAACAACAGTTATAATCTTTATCTCTTTGACCTTTAAAAGGTTTTGGAAACATTTAACGACATATAGTACAATTGATTTGAATAGATACAGAGACTGTATCCAGGCTTCAATAAAATACGTTTTACAGATAGGCTGACACCAAATAGACTTTATTTTGAGATAATGTATTATGAGGAAACGACTGCAAACTTTTTCATACGGCGAAAATGTAACACATGACTGAAGAGTAAAATGTTTCAACTTCATTGGATATTCAGGATCTTGTATTGTCTTGATTAATCAATGATTGGTCATTTCTAATATTTTTACTTTTCTTGGAATGTTCAAGTATAAGACGTCAGGGAATCAAACGAGATCTTATTTGGTTCAAATCTAAATTATTAACAAATGAGCTCAACAAACTTAATACTCAATCTTGAAAAAGTCTTTATAAACTTTTACTTCAAATATAATGAAGTAAGAGCTTGTAATGTTTGGCATACCGATGAATAACTTAATTAAGAGCTAAGGAAAATTCACAAATGTAATTCCTGATAGTTTTAAAACTGAGGTAGAAGGTTCACTTACATAGCGTTTACAACTCATATCATCAAATTATTGCAATGTTAAAAGACTGACGTCTTCTCTAAACCATTTATTGAAATCAACGATGGAACTTGGGTCGAATTAAATTGATTATTGTATATGCATCTAATGCATTTACAACTGATTGTTTTAACACAATATACTATTCTTTTTTTAATCAAATAGGGTTAATTTGGAAAATGTACTAAATAGGTTTCTTAATGTTCAATGTCTGTTTCAGTAAGATCAACTTGTAGTGATAAAATGTTGAAATCTTCCTAGAATCCCTCATCAATTATTTTTGTCATAACTATTGTATAGTTTTTGGAAATCTAGTAGTTTAAGAAACTTATCTGTTTTGTCGTATTTATGTTTACATAATCGAAGTATTTACTTGTTTTTATACTGTAGACCGAATCAAATCAAATGGCAGTTGATGATTGCTTCATGTCATCGACGAAGTGGTAATTACCAACAAGCTTTAGAAACATACCGTATTATCCACCGACGATTTCCAGAGAATATTGAGTGTAAGAATGATCTCATGTCATATAAGTATCCTACCAATGTGTTTAGATGCGTTCTCAAAAACAATAATTAATATTTTGTCAATGCAGTGTGTAAAGTTAAATGTAGCAGAATTGATCGATGAAAGCGAGTGTATATTAATTTCTCTTCATAACAATTTCACCCGTGTTCATAGATTAAAATAATAAGCCTTGAAGTTTTCCTATTTCCATCAGCTTAAAACCTCCAGTTTAAGTAAAAAGTAAAGTTGAATTTTATATTCAACCATCTGTTGTTCATTCACTTCAACCTAAAACAAGAAATGTGTTCATCAGTTAACCTACTACTCAATTTCTAATTAGGAGTTATCAAGAAAATCTTTTCCTTTACTAACTTAAAAACATAATATCGTTCTTCTGAAAGATTTGACTTTTTTATCTTAATATTGTGGATGTAAAATGTACTTTGTAAAAAAGTTTATACATCATGTAAATAGTTGATTGAATGAGATAAAGTTTACAGACCAGAAATTAGGAAATGTTCAGTCTTCGGTTAAAATTACTGCTAAATATATAGATGAGTAAAAACAACTATGGTAATTATATTACACTGATCATAAGATTGAAACATTATTTAAATCTTGTTCAAGATCTTGTAAACTATTTAGGGTATACAAGAACAACAACGACACGAATAACTGAATATAGGTTTGGTCATTGTATTTGTTAATATACACCACATAAACAGAAATATAATTTATAAATTGGATAATCACTTCACAGACAAAAATGTAACGCGCATAAAATTTACTCATAAGAAAATATGATATTCTTAATCATCTAATTAACAACAACGTTTATCTAAAACTATCATGACTCTAAGAGTAACCACTGTGATCAAAATCTAATCATTTATATCTAAATGATCAAACTTTACACCTAATCAAACTTAATTAAAACTTCTATTTTGCTTGGTTTTTCGGTAGGTCTTCAATTTCTTGTACGATTAAGTTCTGATATGGATTTACCTGAAGCTCAAGATTATATAGCCAAATTGAAACGTGCTGAAAAATTGAAACAGGCTAGAGAACAACGTCGACTGTCATCAAGTAACCGCCGAAGCTTTGGTCTAACAAATACATCCAGAACAACAGGTAGTCGTGAAAATTCAGCCAGTGTTAGCAGTGGAGGTAAATAGAATAAGAAATTAATGTGGAGTTGTGGAGATTGTTGGGTTTTATTAAAGTCATGAACCAAACAAAGTCAGATAACCAGTGAAAACTAGAAAGTACTAGAATGGCTAGATCGGTTCGTGATTTCAATGAAACTAAACAATCCGCACAACCTCACAGTGACAATTATTATGTGTTCACTTGTGACCAACTTCAACAGGAAATGTTCGAAGTTCTAGTGAGAAGTTGTGACCATTGGAGCTAATCTGTACCGGGTGTGAAGGTACCTACTGAAGACAACAAAAAATAGTCACGCAAAATCGTGGATTTATTGGAGTTAGATTAGTGAACCATTGTTCGCCGGCTCAGTGGTCTAGAGGTAAGGGGTTCGCGCGTGTGACCGAAGGTCCTGATTTCGATTCACCGTGGTGTGCTCGTGGATCCAAACGGCAAAGCCACATGCTAGAACGAAACGGCTATCCATTCATTTCATGTTTTCACTGGTTATCTGACTTGGATAGGCTCATGGTTTCAATGAAAGGATAAAAACTCTCCAAGAAATAATGACTGATTTCTATTGTTGAAATTTTTCTTATCATTATTCTCGCAATCTGCAGATGACATCTACTATGTGACAGATATTCTGTGAAAAATGATATAAAACCCGATATACGAAACATTATTTCAACCATTACCACTCTAATCTGTTCGACTAAATATTTTAGAAATAACAATTAATAGTAATTCATATAGAACCGTAGTTAAGTAAATAATGACAGATTACTTTGAATGTGATATAGCATAATATGTGACAAATAAAAATGAGGCTACTGATTCAAACTAAGTAGTTTCATTTCATAGGGGAAATGAAACTTTCGATAAAGTTAGCTTTGATATTTCAATCTATATGATCATTGTTAAAATTTTATATTTTTTGTAGGTGAAAGTCGTGAAAGCAGTGCAAATTACGACAATCATTACAATGTCCAATCAAAACATGCACATTCCAAAAATAATTCTTTTCGTCAAACTGAAGTCCGTAAAGAAACATCTCTTAGTAGGAATATAGACAATGAATATATTAAATATAACGATCCACTGGGACCAAGTGTCGAAAGACCGAGAACAGCAGCACGTACTCGACCAATTCAAGATGATTTTGCAGACGAAGAAGTTGATGAAAACCTGTTACCAGATTAATTGTTAATTTTTTTAAGAAACCAGATAAAAGTCATAAATAGTTTCAATATTATAGTTTACTCTCTCGCTATCAAGTGATTTTGTATAGCTTCTTCTGTAATAAAACACTTCTCAATACACTGTAATCAGTGGATATTCATCTAAATAATAAGTCAAACCAATCTTACATCATAACTCGTGTTTCTCATACATTACATAAAATATTTATGTATTTGTAAGCATACAAAATCACAATGAATGGCTGAAAGGCTTACAAATTCATTTGACGCAACTTTTCTGTCATTATCATTTTTGTTTTAGTTATCGCGTGTAAATTTCTTATCAGTATTGAAACAAGCGAGCACAGAAGCATTGAAAGTATATAGACGGCATTCGAAAAAGATGCTTGTTAACTTTCTTACTGGTGGCCTGTTCACAGGATGCATTCGTGTAAGAAACATGAAAATCCTATCAAATTAAATGTAGTAATTAATCTTTCTGAAGCACTAATGGTTTGTGATAAGTCTTGCCAACTGAACGCTATATTCTGTTCCTGAGCTATTCTCGTAACACCCAAGCTAGAACTACACAGCGACCTGAACATGAGAGGAAAGGCATAAAATACGCGACAGCACTTTACTCCAAAGTTCCGTTTTAGTACAGAAAATATAGGGTTTTTGTAGTATTTTAGATGTCCTTGGGTTTCCCGAAAATTCTGGAATGCTACTAAATATAGTAGCAGTACAGTAATCAGCCAACCAGAAGCACTACATGTGACTTTCCACTTTCTAGATGTTTCTGGCTAAACTCTAACGCTGATTGGATAAAATGCATCTTAGTGTTTTCCTGACCCTTTCTTGTCTTTTGCGGGTTTTCTGGACCACCCCAACAGTTTGAAACAATTATCTTAGACGGATATAACAATAAAATTTAAGCTGCTTCAAGATATACCGGTTTTACCGATGAATGCAGTGGTGTTCATCTACTATGTCCTACGTGATGGTTCATCAGACAGTCAGAATGAGATAATATAGATAGTAATTTTTCTAAATATGTTTCTGATTAACCAAAACATCTTGGATAACTACATTGCATCATACACTAGGAACTTATTTATTACCTAACTAAGCTTAATTGTTTCATGGATCCCAATCCAATGACGTTTAAATAGAGTAACAAGAACTATAAATTACAAGTGAATCTATATATAAAACCCCTATAAATTATGTTATTAACCGAATATGTCAAGGGTCAAACAGTTACTTGAATTCCTACAAATCACCATGCATAAGTCTTAGTCTATAAATATCTCATAATTTCTGAATGAATACTATTATTTCATATCTGCGTAAAACTATATTTCTAGTGTGAGGATTGTTGTCATTACATTAATTTATTTGAAACTTCATTTTTTATGGGATTGCACGAACTCACTGGTATGCAAATAATTGAATGGGTAGTTTATAATACAAGTGAGAGCGTTAAGAAAGTTTATATTGTTTCTAAATGATCAATCAGATTTCTTAGTTTGTCTATTAGTTCTTTTGGCTTGAAGTTGAAAAACATATAATAAAGGTGTTCATCCATATGACCGCATAGCATCCTTGCTTGGGAATCTATACATAGTTTTTTAAGTGCAGTTAGAAACATAAACGATGCACTCACAAAACTTACCTTTCTCTTCTTTCGTTATACTTTTATCTAGATGTAACAACTTCATCCATTTCAACAACTTTCCCGACACCAGCAAACGATCATTGTAGTCATCTTGTATAGCTCGAGCAGATTTGTTAAAGCAGTTTCAGACTTAATTTGCATTTTCGTTATCTTATGGTGGTCGGTATCCAAAATAATCCTTAAACTTCGTAAACACTTCGTCCTGACAACCGTTACTGGATCACTCCCCAACGATGTATTAATCAGAAGGCGAATAAAAAGTGTTGATTAAGTTTATTATTACACCACGCACAGATCACCAAAATTACAGGTACGCTAAACAAGCATGAAAGAGTAGTGCCGAAAAGCAAGCGAATCGAATGAACAGGATTAAAATGTACATAGTGAAATGAATGAATCATCGAATCAAATTGACTGATAGTAAGGCTAGAAGGATGAATATATGAGTATGCAGTAAGCAATGCTCAAGCACACATATTTATACAAGTGCAACAATGGTAAAGATACAATAGTATAGATAAGTTGTTACTGTACGAATGACTGTCCGTTAAATCAGTTAACAAAAGGGCTTAACCAAAGTAAATGTGAACAAACTCAATTGCACGTGAGTTGCTATAGTCTAATGCATTGTCATGATCAGCAGTTATCTCGATGTTAGCTTTAAGGCCTCATTTGGCTAACGAATCGCACGTTTGACGCACTAGTCCCTATCTTTTTATCAGTAAACTAAACGACCACAGTAAACATACATTCGAAGGCATTAAACAATATCATTTTCTGTCAAACTACTCATTAGTTTTACATTTCAAAGTCAATCAGTCCTTGTTAACATACGGCTTGCCACAAATGTCTGTTATAATTGAGATCAGGAATAGATTAATGTTAGACCACCATTGAAAACCTAGAAGCAGTGGACAGCCGTACCGTCCAAGTATAGGACCTATCAGCAGTGTGCACCCAGGACACGAACGCAGGGCCTTCGGTCTCGCGCACGAACGCTTAACTTCCAGACTACCGAACCGGTATCCAACGGTGTGGATGCGCACTGCTTAGGAATCTCATACTAGGATGAAACGTCCATCCAGTGCTCCCAGGTTTTTAATAGTGGTCTAAAATCGATCCATTCATGATCTCAATCAAATCTTAACAATATCCACAACCCTATACTGAAAACATCTGTTAGCTTAAAACGCTATACCGAATGAACACGAGATGGAATCATTAGAATGAACGGCATGGTAGTAGAGCTAGTAGTATAAATGATGATATTCGCATAAATCAGACAGCGAAGAATATAGTCTAGAAAGAAATTATATATAGAGAATGTATTTGAACTAATACAACGGACTGAGTCATCACCCACGCCCGACCAATAACTAGGACTGTCTTGTGGGTCTCAACAAATTAGTTTGTATTTTCCAACACATTTAAGTCAGATAATCATGAATTCTTACCCCTACCTACTCCCACATTACCCAGCAATGCGCATCGAGGGATGTGTTGATTGGGCATAAGTAATACATGTCCAAGTCATCTTAATCGATGAATAATTACTTCATTTCAAATATCATCATAGCTTACTTAGTGAACTTGTCACACCTGAGTAATACTTCAAAGATATCTGCAGTCAAATACCAGTAACCCAAGAGTATCGTCTACTTTCGTAGGCCATGTTTCACAACCATACAGTGATATAGAGCGCGTTGATGTATAATGTACTCATAACTTGATTGGAAGACAGGTATCTTTTCTACGGCACGAGTGAGCACACTGAGAGAAACCAAGAGAGATATAAGAATCCGTGTCAGCCACCAAAAAACGATGGTTAATGAGACTGAATCGAACTGGCGCGCGCCCAGCCGCTTCACTCTATCATTAGTGTAAGGACTGACCTAGACCAGTACTGAAGCAGCATTCTGCTTTTGGATGGAAACAAATGCTAAACATGATTCTACTGTCACTCAAGTTCAAAAGATTGGATAGTGTATCTTCCACAAATAGGACTGTCATTAAGTGAACCTGATAAAATACCGACCTCTGAAATTTATGATTTCTGGGGCGAGAGGTAATTTATAACGAAATAAGATACGAAGAGTAATAGTAAATACAATCTTGAAGGAGACAAACTGAGATTGTCAATCCAGATTACAGTTCGCCCTAAGCGCTGATTTAACCAAAAGGTTCTTAGTAAAGAACCTTAAGTTAGGATACATAACCACAAGTGAACGTGACTTGGGTGTGCTGGGACCTGGAAGTATGAATATTTGATTGATACATCCGGATTCCAGTTTGAATTCAATCTAGGCTTTCCTAGTTTGTTATTTTCGAGATCTAAATAATGATAGAGCGATAATTGAGGCTGATATGTTGGGACTATACAAAACAAAGTAATTCCTTCGCAGAAAGATTTGTCATTTCTAAACTGACAGTTAGTGAACATGGCCGGTCAGACGGGATTACCCCAAGCTCCTAAACTCTAGCAGCTAATACTGGACCACCATGACTAAATAACCTCCAAGTTAATCTATCAGGTCCTGCTGATTTCCCTTGCTTCAAGATAGATATGACCATATCCATCCTTAAAAGAGTTGGGAGAATTGTAGCGATTTCTTAATCAGGCTGTTGGGAAGAGGTGAGTTACTGAAGGTCAGCTAAATTGTTGCCCACTATGCTGTCCATTTGTTTAATCTCCTAAACCTAATAAATAATATTTCCGTTTTTTTCAGAAATACATCAGCTGACAACCGGCTTTCTAATGCATCTATCTGTGACGTGTCGGGACAGATATCTAGTGCTGCCTATTGCCTTTCCCGTCTATTTTGCTTTTATTGTCCACCATTGATCATGATCATTTCATAATGTTTTTATTAGCCTATGTTTGAGTTGTCGTCAATCTGTCTTTTTCCGTGTATAACAGGATGAATTTTAAAGCAGTTAAGAATTTGATAAGAACTTCAGGAATTTAATGGTCCTTCCTAACCTTTTGACTCAAGTTGATGACAGATATCATTTTAGTGCTTACAGGTGTTTGGATATCATAACAACGACAATGACTGATGGTTATATAACCTTATTTCTATCCATAGTCGTGTCGAGGTTGAGGGCCGCTAGGTTATGTAAGTCTCTTCTTATAATTAATGTTGATACGTGCTATGAATGAACAGTGGTCTGAACATTTTCAGAACAAACAGTAACCATTATCTATTCTCTGGGTTGAAATATCAAAAAATTCGACTGTGTCTTTTAATTAGACATTCCCTCTCTCCTTAGGGGTTACTATCACTTTTTACGAGTAGAAGTTCTCCTGATGACCTGGAAGAATAAATCCAGAGGCCAAAAGATAATTGCTTGAAGCCGGTTCATAACGGTCTTCTCATGAATTTTTGGTTTATTAACACCGTACGTTTCAAGCCTTATTACAGACTCCAAGACCAAAATAATTATTCTACTTGAAGAATCACTTAGTATCCATTCAGATACTTCCTATTATTCCACCAAAATTTATTCATCAGATCAAAAATATAACAACATAAAGACAAAATACGTAAAAAAGAAAAGGATATACAACATTAAGTCACGGCATATAAATGATAAAAACAATGTACAAACAAGTCAAGAACTATCACTAATTATTAAACTAATTAAACTTGTCCATCCTGAAAACGGATGACCACGTTGACCATTTCCAGTCTGATCGTTATACTGTTCCCATAAATGACCTGTTCGTTCAAGTCCACCTAATACGGTACGTGCTAAATTTTGCGTCAGTTGTTCAGCCAACCGTTTAGCTTCTGCAGCGACAGGTACAGGTGTACGTGAATGGTGAGAATAATAACGTAGTGACTGTACGGCCAAATAATTTATATTTATCCATATAGCACCTCGCCAGTAGGGTGGGTCATCTTTGGTATTGTGTGTATGATAAAAAGGAGACTTAAGATTGATTGAACGCAAGCCGAACTCAGACCACAGCAATTCCTTATTACTCAGGTCAGCTAACAAACGTGGAAGTCGTGGTGATGTAGGAGAAAGAACTTTCAAAAGAAATGGGAATAAATTTACATATCCAAACGAGGTGTCCACTAACTGCAGTGATGGGGTTTTCACAGTTACTCGTACCAATCTCATCTGCTATGGTAAAAAGTCAATGTGAAATTAAAGAAATAATTACAAAATATATAATATCGAATGCTTTAATCACAATAGTTATTTTCATTGAGTGACTCCCTTCCTGTTGAAGTAATCATATAATAATAATATGAGCTCACGACATTACAGCACCAGATCTCATTGATCTATCATAAGTGAGTCTCCGTACCTGACAGTAATACTAACTATAATATCGCCATATAAAATTAAACATTAGTGAATTGAAAAAAATAATAGAATCCCTTAACTACCCAAACCAAAATAGTTCAATTAGCTTTGAACATGTTTTTTGTACTAGGATAAGAGCTACACTTATCGTTCGAAGTTAAAACTTCGGTAGATAATGTTGGATTCCATCTAGTAGTTCAGTAATTAAATTGTTGGGGCCAAACTTTTAATTACAGAGTGCAGAATAATATTCCAATCGCTATTTAAATAGTAAATCAAATTCTTCCAAACAAGCCCAAAAAATATATAATCCATATCTCCTTTCAAGATATCCAAAAATTATGATAAGAATTATGAAAACAATAAAAAGTACCTTAAAATAAGCACAGAATATTTTAAATATAAATGAAAAGGAAATATCAACGCATGAAATCACTACCTCATCAGAAACATGTGATCCCTTAGGTATATCATGCATCTCTAGTCTAACAAAGTCTGTGTGCAGACCGTAATCAGCATAGCGGCCCTGTTTTTCTGACCAATGAAGTCTATCCAGTTCATTCTCATCTGATAATAGATCAGCCCAACGAGTATATTCAGCAATCAATGAACGAGTCTCTTCTAGCTTTGACCGACCATTTGCATTTTGATCTGCTTGCATAAATTGTGTAACAATAGAAGCCAATCTTGCCATTACACGAGCAAACAAAGTCATCCAACAACGTAAATCAATGTGACGTTCATCATCAGTTGGATGAGAGGCACGAGGGAAATCATCTAATCCTTGAGACAGAAAACAAAACATTATATATATATATATATATATATATATATATATATATATATATATATATATACATATATATATATATATTGTAGTGAGCAAAGTGATAACAGAACAAAACAATCATAAAACTTTTATAACAGTTGGTGAAAATGGATACATTATCACACAAAATGTTTTGAGTAATACACATGCAGCGCAGTGGGTTCAATGGCTAGATAACTGCATTTCCAACCAATAGTTCTCAATTTTTAAACATACTTTATACGGTTTAAGCGTTCGCGTGATAGTTAATAAACACCTCATACAAACAATGAGGTTCAAAGTTGAGTACTTGTAATTGGTATATATAAATCTCACTAATGCTATTAAATGATAAGAAATATTGTCAAATCTGGGCATACTACAAGTGTTTGCAAAAAATGAATATATTTGATCTAGACTATTATAAGAAACATAAAGTTGGTAGTATCCTAATTATTTCGTATTAAGCCATAAAAATTGTATCCATTTTTTATCTATAAACTCAGTACAAGTTCACTAGGTAGGCAGAGATGAATATCCAGTCGAAATTCACGAAACAACTAATAAAACTTTAACAAACACACAGTTATATATATTATTGTACCATTTTGAAAATGAACTAGTTGAAAATAATTACTCCGTTGAATAAAATATTTTAAGAGATGTATATATTCTAAAGTGATTTCCTTAATAATATAAATGAAACTGCATGTTTTCCATGATGTTTATATGAATTACATGCAACAATAATTCCATTAGACATCGGAATTCCGTTTACAAAGTGTTAATGTACCCTTAAGCGTGTCACAATGATTACTATGTTTAATGAATTAGAGTGAAATAAAAATAACATATAATGGCCATGTGCAAAATTCCTATAGAAATATTAACCATTATCTAAAAAAGGATTAAAGTGATACTCTCAAGCATTTACCAGAACTTAATGTAAGAGGGTTCAGCTGATGAATTTCATTTGGATTGCGACCGCGCCAGCGATATGACAGAGGGACAGGACCAGTCTGAGTAGTATTGAACCATTGATACCAAACATGTAGCCTTGGAAGAATTAACAAAGACCAACGACGAAATTCATTAGCTTCAGCAACAGTTAGTCGAGGCAAACGATCTAACAAAGCCTGCATGAATAGTACAAAATAATATATAATGTTGAAAGAATTTCAATAACAAAGAAACTAGAAACATACCAATAATAAATATTACATGCAACGATTATCAAGATACTAAGAACTATTGCTGTAAAAAATGTTAGTAATTTGTTGAGTTGGTTTCCGTAAAACTTCAACGGAGCCTCCAGAGGCCCAAAAGGAGCCGAAGGATCCTAGCCAACCAATGTACGAGGGAACGTTCGAGAATTCCAGCGTGGCGTGCTATTATTGGTCGGTAGCATAATATGACGTTGACAGATTGGCTGAAATATGATGTTGATTTAACAGACGCCAACATTTATAAATACCCTTGATTTTCTGTACAAGAATGAACCTTGGGATAAAGCATTTTCTCTCATACTTGTGTCTTCTCTCTGGTGTTCAAGTCGCTGTGTAGTTCTAGTCTGCGGGTTACCAGATAGCTTAGGAAACCAATATAGCGTTCAATCCACACGACTTATCATAATTATGCTCATGACTGGTAACAAATCAATGAGAAATACACAAAATTACAAAAAGGAATAAATAAAATACTCAGAAAATTGTTTAGGAAGTTTTGACCAACTGACTAGAAGCATATTCAACATAAACTACCTCAACTTGTCACTGTTTGAATGTTATACCAAACAATAAAGACTATGAAACATACACCCGTTAACCGAAATTACAGGATGAGAGCTATAAAACATGTTCCGACTATTTAAACTCCACCTACCTCCTCAAACAAGACTGAGTAAAAATTTAAATTGCTCGTCAGACGACATCATTATTATGATCAATAGATTGGAACTGGTATACTGAAGGCGTAAGACAATTATGAAATACTTTCAAATTACGAATAGCTAAGCAAGGGGTGAGATTTACCTGATGAATGTTGACTACATTACCAACCACTGTACCAGTAAGCTTTGTCAGAAAATGGATTTTACCTAAGCGTAAAGAACTACTTTTCCTGTTCATTCAAACAATTGCCCAAATACGAGATTAGTTGCCTATATGGAGTTCGCTACCTTAGGTCCCATATCAGTACACTTGTAGTGTCTAGTATCATTTTGTTGGGGATGTTCGATCCCCAGAACACACTTGATAAATACTTTAGTTTTGTAACTCTATTTTTAAAATTCAAATTTCTTGCTTCCGCACTAAAAGCGCCCATTTTTACCTTCGTGTTGTATTTCCCACTTGGGAGGATCTTAAACGCTATTGGTTCTTTGTGTCTTTTAGTGTGTTATTTTGTAACGCTTCCCAAGGACATTTTTTGTGCTGTATATTTACGCTTGATTTGTGCTTGTTGTTGTTGCTCGTGCTTCTGGCTGCTTGTGGAATAGTATTTCCCTTTTCCGGACTTGAACTTCTCTCTCTAGTTAGCGGGGCTGGGACACATCGGAATAGCTAGCTTATCTGAGATGGTGAAGATTTGTAGCTCAGGTGCTTATCTGCCATTGTGTCACAGTCTTTGTTCCGTTCTCAGGTTAGGTAAACTCGGAATCTCTTCAAGCACAGCGCATTTCAAGCCCACATGGGTTATTCTAGCTTCCAGACAGACCAATCTATTTATTCTTCTTGAGTCACATTTTAACCTCATCAATTATTCGTTTATTAACCTTGACTGTTTTTATATTAGCGTATGTAAATAAAAATAATATATATGAGCGTGTGTCAATTACCTACACTATTCATGATGTGTCTGTAGTTTACTTTTGTTCGACTATAAATATCGATTCACACTTGGTTAAACCGAGTTGGCTCACATGCCTTATCCGATCCCTTTCGCTTCGCTCTTTCCTCTTCGTTGTGCTACCTCTTATTCTGAATCTCTGTCTGGATAAACGAATGTCTGAATTCCTCCAAGTCCACTTGTATTTGGTTTCTTATTACCGCTGTCATACAAACGGGGTTAGCCTAGGTAATATACGGAGTTAAATGAACGATTTATGTTCATAGCATATTCATACGTTCATCCAAACTGGAGTCAGATCAGCTGGCACCACAAAACACTCACTGAAGACTCCGTGAAAAAGACGTTTCCAAAGGAATATATCTAATAAGCACAATTATAGTGGGAAAAACTATATTTCAAGTGATTAAGTGAGCTTACAACCGTGTTTGTTATAGGACTTCCTACCGAGTACTTTTCAGATAGTTGTAGCATTAGAAATGAATATAACAGAGTAGAACTCTAGGTTCTCACATGAACTATGATCATTACACTCTTGTATAACCATTGGTAAGAAATGACATATAAAATTAAGAGCTTGAACAATCCATCATACAACATTCACTTAATAATTACATATCATCTATAACCACAGTGAATTTAACGCTTCATAACGAAACTTTGTTACACTATAACACAACTGAATATTCGCTTCAACTATTAGTAATACAAATTAGGCGTAATAAAATATGCCGTGATGCAAATGGAAATATGTTCATGAATCTACTAAAAAGTTTAAAAACTTGACAACATACTTCAACAGTTAAAATCAAGGATGGTGGATTGGCAACATCAGAGGACTGAACAACAAATTCGGATGGAACCTTTGACCTGGCCTCCCAACCTAAAATCTGTTCACGTGGAATCCAACCATTAGCATTCATAAGATCGAGCCATGAACCGACTGTTTCCATTGCAAGATTTGGATCCCATCGGGCCAATATCAAACCATGAAATCCTTCATCCCATAAAAATCCACGCGGAAAGTTGGGACGAGATGGAGTGGCAGTAAATAAACTAGACGCCCAATTAGATACTGGTTCCGGTCCAATATTAGCCGAACGAACTAACGATGTGCCGTAAAAGAAACCAATACCACCCAGTAGATTGCTGACTGAAATTTTAGATAAGTTGACCTAATCAGATTCAGAGGTAGAAACACAAAACGATTATCCCGATATATATATATATATATATATATATATATATATATATATATATATTGCAGTAAGGAATGATTATAATGAAAAATCTCATCATAAGAGTTAGGAAAATAACAATTTTATGTAGCATATAATGAACGACGTTAAGACAAAGGCACTGAAGTATTGGCTAATCAATGAGTTTATCATTCACAGTAAGTGTGCAGACGCCAAAACCAGTGCTTACACTAGCCCATTTATTGAACAATATGAAGTAAATAATTTAGTGCACTAACCTAATTAGCTTGTTCTATTCACTTTACGAATAAGATTTCTTTCATAGGATTAATATGCCACTAGCTTAATCCCGATCGTTTCTACAGCTGTAATGAGGGAATTATGAAACAAACATAAACTCCCGAGAGGATTTAGCATGCTTTCAATGTTCTGAGTTGCTAAGTATCCCACCGAAAAGTCACAAGGAAGGTCACTTTCTCCTGTACAAACAATTGAAAAATAATTATTACACCGAGAGTGAAATAATCAACAATTAAGTAGGAACCCGTCTACATTTGAGAGACCCTTCTGATATTCATACAGAAATCACGATACTGCACTTTTATAACTAACCGCTATAAGTTTCGTATTCCATGTTTCCGATTAATAATTTTGTGGTGCTACTGATATCGACAGATATAAGTAATATGTATCATCAATCAAAAGTAAAATGCCTGGCGGCAGGTCAAGAAGATCGAAGAAAAGAGAACGAGAGCAGAGAATTAGTGTGAAAACGAAGGTACAATGAAGTCTGAGACGACTGATTGACATTTTAAAAATGAAATATTTACTGTATGGATCTCAGATTTTACTAAGACGTTCTGTAATTTTGTATTCAAATACATTCGGTTGTCCCCACTGGTGTTCTCGTTCACTACAATTTCAGTACCGTGAAACACGACACCTTTCGTTTGGAAACATAATCCATATTGTTCAACGGATATAAACGATATAGTATCAAGATGTGTAGATATAAACATAATCAGGTTACTGAATACTTAAACGTTATGACTATCAATTCTAGACATCTTTCAAATCAATTCTAGTTAGTTTTTACAGTGAAAATAATCACAAATTCCAGCGAACAAAAACTTCAAATCTGACTTAGTAAATTTATTACTACAAAGATTGGTTATAATTGTTGAACATTAGGCATAAACTACGATTTCTTCAAGCTGCCTTTGTTTGTTAATCTTGGAACTTTTATGGATTTTAATCAAAATAGATCAATAAAGCATAAAATAGAAAAATAAATTTAGAAAATGATGTGATCAACTTGCTCAAAACTACAAACCTGTCTATTAGAAAACTTCGTTAAATCAACACTGAATCTTTCAACAAAACGTTTATGGAAACTTATAGACTGTTTAGATAACTCTTCAGAGAAACTATTCCCATGAAAACCTTCAAATGGACTTTGTGATCGAAGGAATTCGACATCCAGAATTGGTTGATTATTTTCATTGGGTTTTGTACTTATTTCATAAAACCATGCATTTGGAGGTTGATTTTTATTATGATTCTTTGTGACACCTGTTAGTGCCAAGAAATTCTTATCTCTTCTAACTCCTAAACCAGATAACATTGTCTCTTTAATTGTATCTTCTCTAGGTATATAAGCCACGAGAGAACTCTCCTGTAATTTATGAGGAGTAGGATGAAACAAAACATGAAAATCACTCAACTCCATTGAACTACCTAAATTATAAAAATAATAAAAATCAAGGATTGAATACACCTACTAGATTCAAAACATCGTATTTACATAGCAGTAATATGTTGATTATGCATAATTTAAAACTATGTTTAAACTAGACAGTGGTTCTACAACCAACAGTAGTAGTATTTTGCTTTTTGAGTACTTGAGATGATTACAGTTAGGCTGATTAGACTGAAGTATATGAAGCGAGGTTCAAGCCTACGACCTGGTAGTTGAAAGACGAGTGTCTTAATCGCTAAGATACTGTGCTACTACAACGACAAGACAATTAATCTCAAGAAATGTGGTAAAAACTAGTAAAATGTCTAATGACCATAGATCTCACAAGTGTTTACTTATTTATTACAATATAGATTTAGTCACATTATTTTGAACAGATATTTTTGTGTGAGAACATAGGTTTTATTTTAGAAACGATAGCAACATAATGTGATGTGTAGCAAATTGTCTACTCACTTAAGGATTGTTAGTGAGTCTAATAGGTCACTGGGTTCGATTTCATGAAGTGATACCTTGCCACGACATACGTCTTGCGCTGTTGTCGACCAGCATCATGCCAGTAATCGTAAAAACACAAGTTATTAATCTAATACCAACGTAAATATCTCAAACCGACCACTACACTTCGACTTAAAATCATCTCTTGACCTATCTGATCATCAGTCAGTCAGCTACAACGTAGGACCAGGCACATATGTGCATCGGTCCAGGTTGCCATACCGCATCAGCACACAAGATGAACACCGGATTCATAGCAGTGGTTAGGTCAAAGGTTGTAATATATAAGAGAAAGATTGCATATAGAGATATAGTACAAGAAGAAAAAATTGGTTCGTAGAAAGGTATGAAGCGATTTTAATCTCTTAGTTTAAGGGAAGACAGGGAGTGTATACACCGACGCTATTGTGATCGATTCTGAGCCATGTCACCAAGAGTCTCCAACCATTGGTTACGATAGTCACGCGGACATCAACCAAGTAGTCTGCATCTACCAACATGGCTCAGACTACAAGTTAGTGACTTCAAGCACTGATGCCACGTTTTGGTTTGGCAGCCCCTAACTTTCTTCCAACCATCTCCAATACCGGATAGCATTGCACGTCGTGGTAATCGGTGTTCGGACATACGTAACACGTGGCCCAACCATCTCAGTCGATGAAGATTCATAACCTCATAAACTGATTTACCATCATTCCCTAATACCCTGCGTCTAACCTCACTATTACTTACCCGGTGATCCCAGCAGACACCAGCAATATTTCTAAGGCATCTGTGGTCAAATACTAATAGCTTACGAGTGTCTTCTACTCTTAATGGCCATGTTTCGCTGCCGTAAAGTAAAACAGAACGGACTGCCGCGCACTATACTCGTCCTTTTATTGATAGACGGATATCTCGCCTTCGTCACAGGTGACGTAAGTTGTCAAAAGCCAAACGAGCTTTTCGAATTCGTGCTGAGATTTCGTCAGACACCAACCCATTAAGGCTGATCAGACTTCCAAGATAAGTGAAGTTGTCAACGCGTTCGACTACTTCACTCCCTATCCTTAGTTCAGGTGCTAACGCAGACCAGTCCTGAAGCAACAAATTGCATTTAGAGGGAGAGAAGCGCATTCCAAACATTCTGGCATTGTTGCTCAGTGCTACCAGAAGACTCTGCATTTTGTCAGAGTCTTCACCAAACAGGACTATGTCATCTGCGTATTCTAAGTCGATAAGTGGACCTCCTGGAAGGAGATCAATACCCGAGAAATCAGTAGTCGAGAATGTTATTTCCATTAGTAGGTCTATGATGAAGTTAAACAAAAATGGGGAAAGTGGACAGCATTGACGGACACCACTTGAGGTTGCAAAAGTAGATGACAGTTCGCCATAAGCTCTGACTCGACAAGTAGTGTTCGAGTAAAGAGGCTTCACAAGGTTTATGTACTTCTGAGGTACGCCTTTCAATGACAGACACTGCCACAGAATCTCGCAGTTTACGGAGTCAAATGCTGCTTTTAAGTCAAGAAAGACCATCATTGTCGGACGCCGGTAAGTATGCCTATGTTCTAGAACCTGGCGAATGGTGAATATGTGGTCGATGCAGCCACGACCAGGTCTGAAGCCAGCTTGAGTCTCTCGTGTTTGCAGTTCACGAGTCTTAGTTAGGCGTCTGATAATTATCGAGGCTAGTATTTTAGATACTATATTAGTTAAACTAATCCCTCTGTGGTTGTCACAGGATGATTTTGACCCTTTCTTATATATTGGGACGATAAGTGATTGTGACCAGTTAGATGGGATAACGTCTAACTCCCAGATCTTAGCTAAAATATTAGTCAACCTAATCGCTAAAATTGGACCACCATCCTTAAAGACCTCTGGAGCCAGTCCATCTGGACCAGCTGCCCTTCCTCGTTTCAGATTAACTATAGCCTTTTGAACTTCTGCTAGAGTTGAGGAACCTACTTCAATGTTCCATTCACGCTGTCTGGGAATGGAGGGTAGTTGTAGAGTAGCTGAAGGCCAGCTGAACTGTTCCCTAAAATGTTCCGCCCATCGTTCTAAACGCCTGGACTGGGAGCAGATGAGAGTATCGTTTTTTTCCGATATAATCTCACTTACACTTGACTTATTAATTCCAGTTTCTTTTATTAGTCTGTAGAGCTGTCTTGTGTTCCCTATAGTCGCCGCCTTTTCCATCTCTTTTGCTTTCGTTGCCCACCACTGCTCACGGTTGTTTCTTAGACTTTTTCTTAACCTAGATCTGATTTGTTGTCGCTCTTCATCATGTTCGGAACCTGATGGGACGAGTTTGCGAGAATCCATCAGTGTGATAGACTTTGAAGAAATCCACTGGTTCTTTGTAACCCTGTGGTTTAAGTCGCTAACAGATGTCACTGCTGTTTCCACAGCTGCTTGTATGTCTTTCCAAGCAACATCTGGGTCGGCCTCGTCTTCAGAACTACCTAATTGTGAACTCAGTTGTTCTTGGAACCTATTTTTGGTTTTCTCGTTACTCAACTCAGTTCTAACGGGTCTTTTTAATGTGGCTTTTTTGCGTCCAGTGAGGCGCAAGCAGATGCGTGCCCGTATTAGGGCGTGGTCGGAGTCCAAGCCGGTACTCCAGAATCAGCGACAATCTTCTACCGACCCTCTCCAACGATGACTGATGGCAATATAGTCTATTTGAGTCCATCGTTGGTTTGGTGTAGGGGGTCGCCATGTTAGATAATGTCTCTCCTTATGCTTAAAATCTGTGTTTACTAAAAATAAGCGATTGTCTGAGCACAGTTGCAGCAGACGGTCACCATTATCTGTTCGCTGTGCCGGAATGCTAAAATATCCACCTAAATGCCTTTCTGTTTGGTTTAAGCTACCTATCTGAGCATTAAAGTCACCCCCTACGAGTACTATGTCTGAGCGTTTAGCTTTCTGAAGAAGTTCAGAAAGCTTTCTGTAAAATTCATCTTTCACATCATCTGAGCTGCAGTCAGTGGGAGAGTAGGCAGAAACGACGAAAAGGCAACGACGTGTGTCCCTATCCTTCCGAGTTCTTACGGAGCCGTTTAGCCGAACAGCACATAGACGACTGTTGACGGGGATCCACTCTAGCAGTGCTTGTTCCGCCCTCATGCTTACTGCTATGCCTACACCTGCCAGTCCACGAGAACTGGCCATAGGGTCACCAGATACACGAAGGGGGTATCTCGTTGGCTCACCGTTTTGACGAGGTGAGGTCAAGTGAATGACCACACTGGAATCCTGTATGCGTGTTTCGGAGACACAGCATACATCAATGGAAAGAGACTCTAGGGTTTTAGCCAAGGAAGCCTGCTGACCGATTTGACATAGGATGCGTACGTTGAAGGCTCCAATGTGTAGTTTGGAGCGAGGTTTCAGTAGACCTGGGACAGAGTTTTGAGCACTAGAATCGTTGGCTATGGTGACACTTGAGGAGGAAGCCGAAAGAGGAAGTTTAGAGTTGAAAGTCGATGTAGGAGGAATAATAGGAATTGAAGAGGAAGGTTGATTATGAATACAGTGATCTTGGGTGCTGTTAGAGGTATGAGGGCGGTTATCACTTCCCGGTTGCCCACACCGAGGAAGGGTTCTTCTGGAGGTACCTGAAAAGGAAATTGGATTAGAGGCGGTCTCAGTGACCTGAGAGCGTGACCGCAGTGCCCAAGGGACAACTGCTTGAGGCCGGTCGCGCACGGCCTTTTCGTGGGAGGTTTTTGACGTGTTAGCTCCGTTCTTCAAAAGGGCCTTACCGCCGGAGACGGAAATCCGTGAAGTAAGGTGAGGTGTGCATTTTTAGGGTCGACCTTTTCTAACCCCACCCCTCCATGTGGGAAGGTAGCATCGCTGTCATGCTGGTTGTCCGAAGGAAACACCTTACTGCTGTCACACCTCTGTACAGTCAGCAGTACGACTTCGCCTTCGGACCTTGGGTTTGTTGCTTTTAGTCTTACCGCTTTTCAACCGACCTGTCTGACATGGTAGGACCTTGAGGAACGGTCGTTCCAGCCAGTATAGCTCGGTTGCTTCATCACGATAGGCAAGCCCGACCACCACATCAAGGTAGCAACAACGGTCGGGTATCTGATCATGGCCAGCATAATATGTTGAAATAGATAATCACTGCATGCCAGTAACATGTCTGTCTATCTTTCAGGTAGTGAAGGAGGCTTTGACGTCACCTGAAGGCAAATATTTAAAAACTTGGCACTTGTTTAGGTGATTACACGGCGAGACTCTAATTTAGGGACGACCTTTGAACGGATCTTGAATGACCTTGACAATTATTAGCCAATCAGAAAAATATATTATAAGAAAGTAATGAATTACAGTGGGTATTCTTCTTTTACATGAGTTAAAAACTTGTTAAGGTTTGATAAAGGTTCAGAGGTTCTGAATTTATAATGCATACGGTATAGAAACTCGTCCATAGGGTTAGGGTTAGGATTAGGTTAGGGTGGCTAGATCCTAATTTAGGGACGAGCCAAAAAGAAGCGTTTGAGCAATTTCAAGGTCACGGAGCCAAGTTCAACACGTGATGCTAACATACGATCGGTTTACAGCGGATTTTAGAGCAGAGGTGTTTGCTGAGAGGCTACAACCCTGACCCCTAACCCTATGGACGAGTTTCTATACCGTATGCATTATAAATTCAGAACCTCTGAACCTTTATCAAACCTTAACAAGTTTTTAACTCATGTAAAAGAAGAATACCCACTGTAATTCATTACTTTCTTATAATATATTTTCACTTTATATTAAGTGTATTCTGATTGGCTCGTCCCTAAATTAGTCTCGCCGATTACACTTTACAGCCATACAGTGAAACGCAGAGACTATGACGTCATAGTACAAGGCTTAAATAAATATCTGATTATCTCCATAGGTAGTTTAAGCCAACATAGTACTTCCATCTCCACAGATGTTTCTTAGGTAACCAATCACCAAGACCTAATACAACTGTCAAGATAAGTGAGATGTTTGACAGATTTAAACTACTTTACACTGTCACACTAAACAGTAGCACAGACCATTCCCAAAACAATAGTTTACGGTCGAGTTGTGGCAATTATATCACAAAATGTCTATGGCCTGTGCTATTGATCTTTGTTCATCACCTTACGTAACACGATCTGTATCATGGAGAATATTTGTAGTATCCCAAATATTTTATTATTAAAAATTTGCGATCAGTGTGAAATTTCAAGAAAGTACTCTCACTTAAGAGGATCTCAGGTTCACATAATTTTAAAAGGAATAATAAATAAACTAACCTTGCAATCCAGTAATTTTCTTATTCGAAATGACTGGTTCGATGAAGAAGTCATTTTTATCACCAGGATAATAAAAGTAGACAATTACCGACAATGGATATTCCATAGAAGTCTAACAAATAAAGTAGCAAAAACACTTTATTGAATAACTTAAATTTACTGTCGACAATTAAGATCCAGTAACTTTATTTATAACAGATAAAGTTCAATAGAATAGAACATCAGTGAATCCAATACATTTACGCAAACTTTTGTACAAAGAACTTTTTTAATTAATCTCTGTAAGGTCTGTTAGGCAGATCCACTAACTAAATGGTGAAAACGGATCTTATCAGACGTTGACACTAAAAATCTGCAGAGACGAGTTTGTAATAGTTTATTACATTAAAAACTCACACGATTCCGCGCAACTGCCGAAATCCTTACTGTCCAGTCACCACCCATCAAGTCAGAAGACGGTTTTACAAAAGATATCGTGATAATATGATGGATATCCACTATTTGCTGTGTTCCAAAAGTACGACCATCGTGTTCCAACCAGTTGTAGCTACAAAAAACGTGGCAAAAGAGATGGCAGTGTCAACATTTTAGTTGTGGAAAATGTATTAAACAGTAGACTCATACATTTTACTTAATGTGCTTCAATAGCCAAATATAATTTTTCGAACTATGTTTTGAGCCCCATATTTTGTGAGGTCTGGTGATGACACTCAGTTATTTAAATCTGAGTGGCAGAAAGCTCGAACCTGTAAACAATTGGTTGAAAATGGAGTCCATTAATCACTAATGAACCGCGCCTTAACTATTAAACAAGATTTTTAATAAGCTTAAATGCAACTCGACTATAAATCAATGGATTTACGGACAAGAAAATATATTTTTGCTTAGTATGAGTGAATAACTATACTTACAACAAAAATTAGAAAGTTCATGACTCAAAAATATTTTACTTCATAATTTGACCTTGAACTACACAATCAAATGTTTAGATTCAACATGAATTTACAAGTGTATGGTGTGTGCCATTTATGTTTGTCGACAAAAGTAGTGTGTAACACCAGTCGGAAGTGGAAAACCTGGCAGCAGGAGGCTATGAAGGTTGACTTGAAGAGAACAGGGACAGAATTAGAAAGGAATTGTGAATCAGAAGAGTTATACAGAATGTAAAAGACAAATGATGGAAATTTGCAAATGAAGTATTTAATGAATGGTTTTCATATTTTACCAAGATATTCTGTAATTTTGGATTAAAATACATTTGATTGTCTCCACTTGCGTTCTCGTTTATTACAAGTGCACTTGAGCAACCAATTTCCATTCTAACATAAGTGTGGTTCATAATCAATCAGACTAACCTGCATATTGGTAATTGAACGTACAACTAGTGATCCTGAAATAAATTCAGTACAGCACAATAAATTCAGATCAGCTTAATGGTGAAATTCTGATACTGAAACACTTGTTTCTCATCAGCTTCAACATATCATATGAATATGAGGTTTCTCCTTTAAATTATGTAAAAATCTATTCACTATTCACAACAAGATGCATGGAGTATTACGATATTTTCACTAACGATTTAATCTATAGTAGCAGCAAGCTTCATCAGGTATATAAAATGTTGCAGATGAATTCTACAGTAAGAACATAACGAATGAATGGTGGTTTCATTTTGCATATTTCATTAGTGTCAAAAATGCGACTCATGAAGTGAAAAATCAAACAACAACAAATGTATCGCCTTATGTTATACCGAAAAATCCTATGATATAACTGGGCCGAAAATTATTAGCGAATTCTTTATTAACACAATGTACTCTGTTAGCTGAAGTGCAAGTAGGTTGGATAAAAATGGGAGGGATAAAATCATTTTGTTACCCTGTCATGAGGCGTTAATGAAATAAAGTCGTACAGTTAGGTAACCGATCGAAAATATCAGTCTTACGCAAAGCTCAAAAACCAACATAATAGTGCAATTACCAGCATACACGTCATATCTCTATTGCTTTAGAATTTCTCGAAAGTGGTTTATGCGAATTAATACTCGCAACGAAACTTGTTGACTGGGTGCTTCTGAAGCGCCAGATGGAGTGATGAAAAATATTCCACCTTTCTCAGACTTTTGACATGATGCAATGAGTTGGGCTGCCATTCATCTGAAATCATATTAAACATATATCTGGACGTTGGAGGGTAATTTCAGATTCCCTACTCTTATTCCTAGTGTTTCACAGAAATACGAAACTAGATCTTTTATAGAAATACCATAAACAGATTAAATGATTAGTAAATATGAAGATCCGGTAAGTGGAATTAAAAAAGCATAGACGATTAATACAGCCAAAAGCATGTAAATATAAACACTCACTACCAATAAAATCTTACCTTAGAACGCCATCAAATTGATCACATGAGTGGCGGTAGACAAAATTTTCTGGATCTTGGACTGTCCACATAACTCCAAACAAAAGAGATTTGGGGCTTCTATGTTTCATACCAAAATAAATTCCGGGACGATAACTTCCCCAAAACAAACTATGAGATCGTTCATGCGATGAAGCATCCGATACTACTTTAGGCAGATGAAGTGGAGTAATAACTTGTTTTCCCTGATACCATACCATTACTTGGCGAAAGACAATCATCATCAAAAAAATCAAGACCCCCAAATATATGAAAGATAAAATGAGCCACTTTGGAACTTTGTTTACAATGTGGAAATCTGTTAGGAATGATCGCTCATGGCTAACACGGCTTCTGAGTTTTGGGTGGCGTGAGCCATCTGACAGGTGTGATATGTGATTTACTTCGCGTTTAGGATGCTCAGAAACTGAAGTGGTAAGTTCCTCAATTCTTTGACTTTGTTTACGTTTTCTTGGACGTGCTTCAATGGACTTACTCTTTGGCATCTTTATTGAGATATATAAAAGACCCAGACCTAAAAGTAGGAAATATCTTAGTGAGGAACAGTTTTTAAAATCACAATTCCTGTTTTTGTAATATATGGATATTTTCAAACTAAGTCAGACTTTTGACTCGATCAATGAGGTAATCATGTCTCAAATCAGAAAATGTTTACATGGATAATAAACAAAAACGCAATGATCAATCCTTAGGGAATAATACTGATAAAACGTAAGGATGGAACACACGGGATCCCTGTAATTGTATCTCGTACACTCCAACAGATGAAAACATTCTTTTTAAACAGTCCCACCTCTTTATAGGCCTTAGTGAAACATACAATAATCGTAGGACGTCAAGAAGTTATTTTGTAGACCCTCTTCAACCGCTTAAAACGTTTAGACAAAATTAATCATGACTAACTACTGAGTACGTGTGGGTTTCTGTAAGTGATATAATATGTAAGTGCACATCAGTAATCTATGCTAACAGTGAATTAATGATTCCGTCATTACATACTTTTTATACATTAGAACTTTAGGATTTGGAAACTAATCTTCTAGCTCCATACTTTTTCCACGTACAACAAAAAATTGTTTCCATTAATGCTTTGGTCAAGAAGCAGGTACTTCTTGCGGCAAGCATATAGATAGTGAGTGAGACGTGCTGTATACGTCCTGGCATTGTTGATATCGATAGTAAATCGACTCAATATGAATGGAAACCAATCTATTACTAAATGTGCAGTCTTGCACTAATCAGGTGTTACACGCAGAAAAATCAACTGCTCATAGATTATTTCTATCCAACTAAACACTTAGTTGCTTCGTTTAACAAAGTAATTCGCAGGATGAAACTACTTTACCCCTATAAAGTGAGAAGCCTGTGGTAAGCACAATAATTCTGCTGATCATTAGCAGAGCAGGACTCAAACGAAAACCCGATTATCCATACGACTCAGTCGAATTGGATGTAGCCAAATGTTAGGCTAGGTACAGCAAGTTTACCTACTAAAAGTTGAGACTGATGGAAGCACCTAAAGTAAGTCTATTACTTCTATTAACTTATATACACAAATTAAACGAAGACAAAGCCTCAGCCATCAACTTCTACACTAACATTAAGGGCTAGAGGATGGGTCGGGTAAGTTACGTGTGCAATTGTCTTCACTACGCTACTTTTCAAAAGCTTGTAGCAACCATCTAATTGACTGATAATATTAAACAAATGATATGCATTTTAAATAATTCATCCTTTAATAGTATGTTCAGTAACATGGGTGGATCATCAGTTTTGTTGCCTTCAAGTGAGAAGGAACCGGAAATCCTAGAAACATCCTTAGCAGGAAAGTATAAGGAATAGATATGCAAGATCATAGATTCCTTTAATTAATTATTTACATTTCAGATGAGTGTGATCAAGCTCATGAATGGCAATCTGAAGGCATTATTGAGATATAATCAGGATTAGGTTATGAGACTGGGATCGCCCACCAATTTTACTTCTCTTGGAACTTCGCATAAGACATGGTTTAACAAACTGATTTTATTGAACGAATTAGGAACGGATTTTTATGATTCTTTTTACGTAGATGCATTAACAGCAAAGTTTGAATTGGTCAGTGTGAGCAAGAGGACTTACTAGAATTTATATCAGGTTTTTCTCATGATGAGACAAATCAAACGTAAAAGCAACGAAAGAATGATGATATAAGTAGCAAATTAGTGTTATTCTTTTTCCTTCCCGTTTTCTTATCGAACATCACACTTCATATTGTAATAAAAATCCAAATACAACCACACCACAACAGTTGGTGGTTATTGCTTCAGAACTTACTAGACGAAAATGCGGACTACCACTGAAGATGGGAACATTTAGTTTCAACGCTATTGTTTCGATTTTAATATGAACACTTTTCTCAAATAAACGAATGCCTACATATACTTCAACATTTTCATATGTATGTGATGTACTGAGAAAAAATAAGCCGGTCTTAAAACGTTAAATTAATCTCTAGTTGGAAAAAAGAAACATTCTTAGTACATGTTCTCATCAAACAAACTCCAGATACACAGCTAAGTTCCACATTTTCTAGACATCAATAATTATCATACTTCTCACTTACAAACACAAAGTATGACAGACACCATAATACTGATATTTTTGAGGATTATGATTAGAATTCCTGCAAATTACTTCTTAAACACGAATTACTCTTCATAATAAGGTCTAGCGCTAAGAAACGTTTTCCAGCAGTGAGTAAATGTCGAAGACATTATGGCGGGAGGTAAAATGACAATGGTAAATGTGGGCAAAAATAGACTGGTTGGTGTGCATTTGGGTAACCATTAGGGCATTAACTTTAAGAAAGCCTTTAAGCGAAAAGCTACACTTTAACCACAGCGGAAAATACCATTTATATGTAATTTCGCCGAGTTTCAAATGGACGTGGACGGAATAGAAGCTTCCGTTTAACAGGCTTCCGTGTCTAGTAGCAGGGGATCACCAATACCCCCAGGCAGGAACATAGGTATATTAACCATAACAGATTAGAAAAAAGATATTGGTAACTCATAATAAGATGTTATCCTTAGTCCTTAAGAATAGGTCAAGTTTCCTTTTGAAGGACTCCTGGGAAGTCGCTTGGACTAGTTCAGTCGGCAGCGAATTCCAGCATTTGACAACTCTTAAAGAGAAGTTGTGTCTACAGTCCATTTTGCTATGTTGTATCTCCGATTTCTGGGTGTTACCGCTTAGGTTTGTATTGGGACTAAGCTTAAGTAAGTGTTTAAGGGGATGTCCAGAAGTGCTAAGGATACTGTAATCCGTCAGAAGGTCACCTCTAGGACGCCTATACTCTAATGGGTAAAGCTTAAGTGATTGGAGGCGCTTTTCATAAGGTTTGAATTTGAGTCCCCGAACTGATTTCGTGGCTCGCTGTTGGATACCCTCCAGTGTCCTTATCGATAAGGACACTACAAAAAGACCCTTTTGGAGTGAGGGAGGAAATACTATGTTTCCGTACTCTAAATGGGAACGAATGAAACTGTTGAAGATTATGTGGAAAGTTCTTCCGTCAAACTGGCCAAAAATGCGCTTCAATGTTACCAGTGCAAGGTTTGCTCGAAAGGCATTTTTGTCACAGTTAGCGTAAGACTTCAAATCGTGGGGCATCAGGATTCCCAAATCTTTTTCGACTCGGGATACTACTAGAGAGGAGTTTCTTAAGCTGTAACTGTAGTCTGTGACATGTCGCGGATGGACTACCTTACGCTTTGAAGTGTTAAAGTCCGTTAGGAATATATACCTTATATTCTCCTGAGCATATCTTTATTCCACAATATGGTTAAAAACTCGAGATTTAGACAAATACCTAAGAGTATATTAAATACAGGAATTAAACAACAAATACAAGAAAAAGAATACCATCACCAGATAAACGCCCGGGAGTAGCGCTAAGCTTCAAATGGTTCAAATGGTTGTGGACGGTATAGCGGTAAATAAATCCCCAAAATAAATAGCACTAAGTTTTCGACATTGGATGCTGACCATATGTTTTAGTGGACTCACCTAGCTGAAGGCGCTCGGTCAGGCATCCGCACCAGATCACGTGTGGTAACGCCGTGCTCAACATCAACCGCAATCGCTAGCCAGATTAGATCAGAGAATTCCGATATATTGGTCAACGCCAAATATACTCTCCCGATCTCCTCGACTCTGTCTTTTGATTTCTCTGGGCGGGAACGAAATATATTAGAAGGTGTTACTGGTAGAAGCGTTGTCAAACACTGAATACCTGTGACATCCATCATTGGTGAAACCGACGTGATCTGGTACACTTAATTGCAACTGTGAGTCTGTTCCTTTTTGGGATTTTTATATATCATTGCCTTGTTTTTTTATTTTTTTAAACATTGTGATTTTTTTTTCGTGTTTTTTCCTGGATATATATATTTTCCCCTTGTTCATTATCGTACTTCATACTTCATCATGACTGAACAGACACCTAAAGTACTCAAGCTTAAGACTTTGTCCCCGCCTTCGTTTCAACTGATGCCTTTCTGGCCCGACAACATCGAAGCCTGGTTTTGCTACGCAGAAGCCGACTTCTCCGAGCACGGCGTGATCGACACACGTGCACAATTCCTCGCAGTAGTCAAGGCACTACCGCGCGAATTCAACAGGTACGTAACACCTAGTATGTTTACTAGTGATGTTTCCGATCCTTACGAAATCTTAAAACGCTCGATTCTTAAACGAGGAGACCTAACCGATCGACAAAGGTTAGATCAACTCTTCAACAATATCGACCTGCAACACGGTTCTGCGACGGACATGTTGAAACGGATGAGAGAGGTAATAGGCCCAAGAACTTTCGACGAAGGTCTATTCAAACAACTCTTCTTGTCAAAACTTCCCCAACAGGTGCAAGCAGTTCTGGTCTCGTTCCAGAACAACGCCTTAGAAGAGCTAGCTGCATCTGCCGACCGCATTTTAGAAATTACGAAATCTACTACCGAGGTATTTTCAGTCAAAGAAAAACCTCAAACGACTCAGAATGATATAAACGACTTATGTCACACACTCACGCGTTATCTTAGTCTTCGTACCGACCGTAAAAGATCGCGCACACCACGTAGAAGCATTTCTCGTAAGCGATCTGTCTCTAGACCACGAGAGACAGATAACCCCGACTGGTGCTGGTATCATAACCAGTATGGAAAGTTTCCAGAAATTGCAGAAAACCCTGCAATTTTCCCAACACGAAACCGACTGATTCGAAAACCAATTCGGGAAACTTCCAAGCCGGCACGCGTTAACGGCAACCGTAGCCGGCGAACAAAGCCGTCTGTTATTCGTCACAGATGTGACAACGAGAGTTCGCTACCTCGTCGACACTGGCGCAGAAGTTAGCGTTCTCCCAGCAAATCCTAACGACCGGCTTCAGGAATCGGCTTTTAACTTACAGGCGGCAAACGGAAAACCGATCGCTACGTATGGCAAAAGGTACGTTTACCTTAACGTGGGTTTACGCAAACCCATCCACTGGATTTTCGTTGTTGCAGATGTTTCTATGCCAATCATTGGTATAGACCTGTTACAACACCACAATCTGATCATCGACACGCGCAAACGGAGGCTAGTAGACGGAAACACTAATTTGTCCGTTTGCGTAACTTCTTTTACTGGTTGCAGAGTATCCCCAGTCACAGTTAAACATATGATAGACCCACTCTATCAGCCACTACTCGATAAGTACCCTGGGATACAACAAACTCAACCGAAACTACCGTGTGTAACCAGCAATGTTACACATCACATCTCGACTACAGGACCACCTGTATTTTCGAAAGCCCGAAGACTCGCTCCCGAAAAGCTTAGGTTAGCTAAAAACGAATTCGACCACATGATGGACCTAGGGATAATTCGACCGTCAAATAGCCCATATGCATCTCCCTTGCACATGGTCCCTAAAAAGGACAGCAACGATTGGCGTCCAACTGGTGATTATCGGCGTCTGAATGCTAAAACCATTCCCGATCGTTACCCGCTGCCTCATATTCACGATTTGACAGCTACCTTGAAAGGTACAACTGTCTTTTCGAAAATCGACTTGGTTAAAGCGTATAACCAAATCCCTATGGCTACTGACGACATACCGAAAACAGCTATCATAACTCCTTTCGGACTCTATGAATTTTTGCGAATGCCTTTCGGTCTAAGGAATGCTGCTCAAACATTCCAAAGATTCATAGACGACGTTTTTCGAGGTCTCAACTTCGTACACGCGTATGTTGATGACTGTTTAATCGCAAGTCCGGACAGAGAAACACATCTCAAGCATCTGGATCTTGTTTTCGAACGACTTCAAAAACATGGCATTACTGTAAACATTCAGAAATGCCAAATCGGAACCAACTCCTTAGACTTCTTAGGACACACTATTGATGCCCAAGGCATCCGACCCCTTAGAAGCAAAGTGGCGGCCATTCTGGATTACCCAGAACCGACCACGATCAAGCAGTTACGAACTTTTAACGGCCTTGTAAGTTTCTATAGACGGTTCATACCTAAATGCGCATCCCTTATGAAACCGTTAACCGACCAACTTCGTGGAAATGCGAAATCCATTAATTTGGACGACACCGCACGAAAAGCATTCTCCACAGTTAAGGAACTGATTGCTAAAGCAACAATGCTCGCACATCAGGACACCCGAGCACCCATTAGCATCGCAGTAGACGCATCCGACTCGGCAATCGGAGGAGTCTTACAACAATGGGTTAACAACTCCTGGCAACCCTTGGCATTTTTCTCGAGACGGTTGCTAGACGCGGAATCTAGGTACAGCACGTTCGGTAGGGAACTCCTAGCTATGTATTGTGCTGTACGGCATTTCCAACATTCCATCGAAGGTCGTGAATTCACTCTTTTCACGGACCATAAACCGCTCACTTTCTCGTTAAGCTCTCCTTCTGACAAGTACTCTCCCCGTGAGTCTCGACAACTCGACTACATTTCACAGTTTAATTCAGACATACAACACATTTCTGGAGCAAACAATATAGTTGCAGACGCTTTGTCTCGCATAACTTCCTTGAACAGTTTCCAAGGAATCGACCTTCTTAAACTCGCCGAGCTTCAAAAAGAAGACAGTGATCTTCAGCACGAGTTATCGTCCACAACACTTAAACTACGTATCAAACAGATGGGAACAGGTAAGGAAACCTTACTTTGTGACACATCTACGGGTAGGGATCGCCCAATCGTGCCGAAACATTATCGACGCAATGTCTTCAACACATTGCACAAACTTTCGCATCCAGGTGTTCGTGCAACCATCAAGCTTATAGCAGAAAGGTTTTGCTGGCCTGGAATGAATAAAGACGTGAGGGAGTGGGCACGCTCCTGTGTAAGCTGCCAAAAATCTAAGGTTATCAGACACAATAAATGTCCCTTAGGCTCGTTTAAAACTCCCGATGCTCGTTTCCACCATGTTCATCTGGATTTGGTAGGACCTTTACCAGATTCAAATGGATACTCTTATCTCTTAACCTGCGTAGACCGTTTCACTCGATGGCCAGAAGCAGTACCTATCAAGGACATCACTGCTGAAACAGTGGCCCGCACCTTCGTCGAACGATGGGTAGCAAACTTCGGCTGCCCTTCAACCATCACTACAGACCGCGGACGTCAGTTTGAATCCGATCTTTTCCGTCGTCTGACCACACTTTTAGGAATCACTTGCTTCCGAACGACCGCCTACCATCCACAAGCAAACGGGTTGGTAGAACGTTTGCACCGACAACTGAAAGCTTCGCTATCAGCTGCAAACGTTTCACAATGGACCGACGCTCTTCCACTCGTCTTACTAGGTATCCGCAATGCAGTGAAAGCTGACATTGGATACACTGCGGCTCAACTCGTTTATGGAACGACACTTCGACTTCCAGGAGAATTCGTGGGTCCTTCATCCTCTTCAATGAACATGGATCTAACCTCCTACACGAACAGGCTTACAAACGCAATGCATTCAGTTAAACCTGCTTCCACTCGACCTCAATCAACTGATGTTTTCGTTCAACCTGACTTACGATATAGTACACACGTTTTCGTTCGTCGAGACTCGCATCGACGACCATTCGAATCAGCATACGAAGGACCCTTCAAAGTTCTTCAACGTGAATCTAAGTACTATATAGTCGATAAGAACGGAACCAACGATAGCATCAGCATCGATCGCTTAAAAGCAGCGTATTTAGAAGGAAATCTTATCTACGTGGATTTTCCTTCGGTACAATCGAACGACACGACTCCGACACTGATAATACCTCATCCGACAACCAACACACACGATGATACTTCGACAGTATCCGAAAATAAACTTAAAACGACGCGTTCTGGAAGAAGGGTGAGATTTCCAGAACATTTAAACGACTATTGCACGTAAGGCACTTCTTCACATTTTATATTAATTTTTTAAAAAAAAACAATTTTAATATGCTTACATATTTTTATTTCTATTTAAAAAAATACAAAACAAAAAAAAACAATTTTTTTAATGCTATTACGTGTTCATGAGTTTATTTTCCATTTTTTCTCCGCCGACATTGTGTTTTTACGCACATACGAGTGTATTTCGACATGCACTTACATTTTCTTTTTCTTTTCCAGGACGGCTGGAAAAGAACGATGACGTTTATGAGGATCCGAAATTTTCATTGTACATTTTCTTTTTTAACTATGTTATACCTCGGTCCCATATAGTAAGGAAAGACGACCAGACGCTGCTACACTTAGTAAGCTATCAGAAGAGTGTTTACCAACGACAAACTCGTTGGGTTGAAACTTCTGGCTGGCCACGTCTTAGGGTCGTCACTGCCCCACTAGGGGGGGAGTGATCTGTAGCGGTAAATAAATCCCCAAAATAAATAGCACTAAGTTTTCGACATTGGATGCTGACCATATGTT